CAAGACCATTATTCTACAAGTGTATACGAATTCTCTTAAAAACGTGAATCTTGCCTGGGAAGTCAGTCCGCTTGAAAAAAGGAGTTTTTATTCATTCTCAATTGACCCCTAGCTAATTGAGGAGCTGTCGTATTGAGTAAAAATGGTTAAAATGAATAATTCTGTTTGAATGGTGTACAAATAGCTGTTTTTCGATGAGAATTCGAAGTCTATTGAATGCCTATGCCCCCCCCCCTCCCATGGCCGCATGGATGAAGAAGACTAGCCTGTTATATGAAAGCGCGTCTTATTTTTGGTCTTATCTCTGTAAAAGTCTCTAAACTTGAGTCCTTGTTCTTTTAAATTCCCCAAATTCGACCTGTTTTCACTTAAATGGAAACCATACATCCTCAGAATGATAATAGGATGAATGTGTAATGCTCTCCAGTTAAAAGGTCAATGTGCAGTATCACTGTTCCACAACTAGTTAATTTGACGGAACGTCAATATAACAAAATGGATGAACTTCCTTGATATGAGTTTTTTGTTTTCTCAATTTAAACTTACGTAAGTCATGTTGCAGATTATCATTTGGCAACAAAATTAGACAATATAATCTAGCTTTTAGAAATGCTCTCGGTTTAAATCGAGAAAACAAGGAAGTTCATCCATTTTGTTACAGTTGTAACACTGTTACTAGTTGTTTGTTACTAGTTGTGGAACAGTGAGTATTGCAAGTGATTTTAGACGGTCATATTTCACCATGGGTACTTTCTGGCCATCAATACAATTGTTTTTATTAAAACAATATGTTTTATTTCAAGTGAAGGCCCTATGATAGTAAAATATCAATCAAACTCTCTGAAAAATTATGGATTAGGACCCCACCTTGGCACTTTTTAAAAATGTTAGGCTAATTTTCTAAAAAGAGGATCTCGTTTTTCTCAATTTAAACATATCGAAAGTTTCTTCTACAATATATTAACAATTTCTGAAAATGGGATGCGTAATGAAATGCGTTAGGCCCTACTGTTAAAGCTGTAAAGTTAAAAACCACATACCCCATGTTATTTTCCCATAGGGAAAAATTTGCTATCCATTGTTTTCAGCATAATTTTGGCCATCGTAATTTATATCTTCAAAAATAGACAATCAATAGCATTCTACTTTTAAAGTTTTAGAGCCCTTGTTAAATAATCTGTTCATTCAATAAAAACCAGAAAAACGGAAGATCCTCTTTTGAGTAAATAGGTTCAACATTCTGAAAAAATACTTTTTCGAATTGTTCGATTGATATTTTTTATCATCATGGGTACTTTAATTACTTGACAGAAAACATTGTTCTAATAAAAAATGTATATGTCTCACATCAAGTATTTCCTGTCCAGTTTATCTGATTGGTCCTTATTCAATACGTCACCGCCTAAATCAATATTATGAATATTTGGGCCCTTTGTTCGGCATTTCAACCTCGAAATATCAGAGCATCTGCGATGCAACAGAGAGAGAGAGAGATGCAAGGGCGGATCTGGGAACCAACGAGCAAGGGGGCCCCAAATTTCAGGCCAGAGAAAAAAATATTGGGCCCCTAAAACCGAAAAGTGGGCCCAAATTTTGAGGCCCATTTTCTTCAAAATTTGGCCTGAAATTAAAAAACTAAGGCCTTAGATGTTAGAAGGCCCAGTAATGACCGGCCAAAAAGGCCCACTTTTGGGGGCCTAAATGCCTTTTTTGGCCCAAAATCCCCCCTCCCTGGATCCGCCACTGAGATTCTCTGAGTATCAGAATGATCATTACGTTGAAGTCGGACAAGAAAGATATGAGTAGGCCTATCAGAATGTTAAATGACTAATTACAACTATGATGCCCAAGAGCATGTTAACATTTATAGTATGCCAAGTAGATGTATTACTAAATGGACATATCTCTCATACACGTCATATTGTCAATCAAAGAACCGAATCAGTTGTAGATTGCCCTTAGTGAACTCTTTGAGTATTTCCAAATGGGAGGCCATCTTTTCCATATTTACTAAGATTACTGAATTACTGAAATTACAATTCTGACAGTTGGTTGTTCTTTTGGTTGTCCTGTTGATATCCTCAATATATTGTCAATATCGTGTTTATGATTTGGTCTCAAGAATATATATTAGTGGCGTAGCTACGTGTACGCCAAGTACGCCCAGGCGTACTCTCAAATTTTAAGGAAAAATAAAATTTACCTGATTAATTGTGATGAAAAATAAACATCCCAGCAACTCTATTCAACAGACGCCCCAGCCTCTTTACCCCGATGTCTACACGTGTTTGGTCCAGCTGCTAACATTGCCAGTATCCACTTGCGTGGCTGAACGAAGCTTTAGCAGTTTGAAACGCATTAAAGTGTGCGCCCGACCTGGCTACGTATATAACAGAGTTTATACTGGCGGATTAGACTAGTTCATTTTTTATATGTGTGTGAAAGCTTTCTCCTATTTGCGTTTTTTCGTTTAGTACGGTTTTGTTTACCCTTTGCATTCGTTTGACTTCACTTCTTAAAAGAGAGCTTCGTCTTCTAACTAGACTCTGCACGCAGGGTAGGTTTTGTTATAATTGCCGAAGTATATAACCGGGATAAAACAATGATTATCGTTGACTGCGCACACAAAAAAATATTTACGTCGAGTGAACAGTGTTATTAAAAAGAACAAGCTTTAGAATACAAAGCCCAGTAGTGTGATAATAAGCTGTACACTACCACTGCTGCATGTACATATTAGGGCTCATAAAGAGTGGATAGGGAGGTTGTGTTTGTCACTTTTAAATTTTACATTTCAAAATTGCCATTTTACATGTCATAATATCTTGGTTTCATTCGTTTAGCCGATCAAAACATTGTAAAACAATAAATCGTCTGTTACGTATAATCAATTTTGTTCAGTTTTGATTAGTTGTCAGAATGAAGTTACGTTCATCTGAATCCATGTTTCAAAACAAAAATCATATTTTCTTCACTTCAAAATGCTTCAGTGAGATGAATGCTCGGAATTGTCGTTTGCAATAACTTATTGTCGTATTCGTTAATTTATCTACTCGATAGAAGCATTTAGTCGTACATTTGATGCCAGGTCACCTTCTCGCGTACCTCTTGGGGAGCCCCACATTTGTGTCTGTACTCATGGAAGTAAATTCCCCGGTGTAGCCGAGAGCCACAAACTTTCAACAGGTTCGAAATGGCCAATTTCTGTCATATATACTCATATTTTATTCATTAATTATCACCTACAAAGTATTGCTAATAACTATATGTAATTTCAATAAGGAAACTTATCTGGCTACATGTAAATTCAATATCAACACTAGATGTTCGCTCAACACGTCCTGGCTTACCTTGTGATGATAAACCCTGGGTTTTCGCTATTTATAGTTTATCAACACCTGGACGCATGCGCATTTTATAGTTTATCAGGCACTTTAAGTCATACTTGCGTTCCACAATGAATGAGGAAAGACTTTCTTCCTTGGCCATGATACATATCCATAGGGAACAGGATATAACCATTGATACTGTTATTGACATGTTCGCAAATGCAAAAAACAGAAAGATAAAATTTATCCTATAGAATCACGTACATATTGTTAAGATCCGAAATGGAGCTGAGACGGTCGTGTAACTTTTATTGTTAATCATCTTGTGAGCTAAATAAAAACAAACACAGAAAAAATGATAATATTTCATGGAGAATGACCACAAGAGCTTAAAACAATGAGCCTCATACATACGGTTTTAGGTAGCCTAAAAAATAAAATCGCCTTGATAGACGGCTTCGATCGCCGATGGCATGATTATATAGAATCTGTCTATTTTGTTTCCCGAATATTATCTGTTAATACAGTTAATTCAATCCCTTTAAAAAGCTGTCAAAATGATCAAACAATACATATTTCCTTCATTGAATTAAGAGTGTTTAGTGTGTCCCCTATCTTCTGAACACCCGGGATCTTCCTATTTTATGGAACCATCGTTTTGTTAATTTTGATAAAACCGGGAAATCATACGGGCGTACACTCGCAAAATGGGCTAGCTACGCCTCTGTATAAGCACAAATGCCAAAGGGAAGGGTGACTAAAAACTTTAAAGAAACCCAACAAGAAACTGAAGCAAACTGTAAGTGTAAATCTGTCATGAGAAAAGTAGACCCTATATATCCCAAAACCATAATCTAACGTGAAAAGAAACAGTGTCTAATATCCCCCTCCCCCTCCAATCGAGAACCAATATCATAATCCAGGACCAGAACACCAAGGGACATTTCATTCCTACTGAAGTCATTAGAATACATGTTGAAGAAAAATTGAAAAAATTGATAGCCAGTACTCATAACATCAAAAATAGTTGTAGATAGATACTAGTACTCATAAAAGATAGAGTATTCAGTCTCAAATGATGTGGGATAGATAAAATCTAGTCTCGAAGTCCATAGGCAATTCAAAGGGTCTAAGGTATATATGATGTTTTATGAGCAATTATATTGGGACATTACTGATTGTGCAGAATAGAAATCTGGACGACTCGATCTCTTGAAGATAAGCCATACAACCGAATTTTGCCGATTCAAACTGACGGAGAATGCCTAAAAAAGTAGTTTTCAAAAGTGAATGTAGTCCCAACACAATTGTGATCATGACGAGTCAGTAAGCTAGTATGTAGGCACAGTTGTCATCTTTTTGCAATGACAACATGCCATTTCTTCTGAAAATGCGTTTATTTGGGTTATCTGAAGGAAAATTTCGAATCAAGTGGCGTATTAATTTTGCCTTCATTTTTATGAATTTCAATTACAATTATTTCAAAAAGTAGATGATTGGCCCCTATTGAGTTTAGTGTCAAAATGTAGCTTAGACATAGGTTTAGAACCTCAGATAGGCCAGTGAGGCCACGTAAATCCATAACTCGAGATAAAAAGTCAGGCGTTTGCCCTTTTGCCCATTGACTAGTATGGTGACGTGAATTAGGGCAGTTTGGCCTAAGTCGACCAGATCATCTTTTGCGCATGCGTGTACTCCCGGAAGTTACACGAGAACATGTGAAATTCTCCAGTCTGCTGCAATAAAGTGCAATAGAGACATATTTCGCCAACAACGCAGTAGTTTTAACAGTAGTTTAACTCTCAGGTAAGACATATTTGTTATTATCGCACAAGGTGGTTATGTGCTTTGACAATTATCGGGAAATGAAAGCAACTTCCGCTTTTTAAAAAAAATTACATTTTTTTATAACCACCAAGATCTTGCTCTTGCCTCTTTCAAAGGCTGACTGATCTAATAGGACAGCAATTGTACGCCCCTATCCCTATCACACACTCCAGAATCGTGACAGCTGAGGTGAGAAACTTACATGAGCTGCTTACTTTATACAGGGCTGTCAACTTGGGACCATCTACAGGTGTAAATATTTTCGAAACAAATGCGTGATATATACACATATTTTGTACCAAATGCATGACATAAACTGCAATCAATTGCAAAGACCGAACGGAATGCGTTCGCTTTTTTTTGCTGTTCGCTTTTTTACCGTATCGGCATTTCACAAAAAACAATTTTTAAAAGAAATGCGTGATTTGCGTGATATTTTATCATACACGCTAAATTGATGCGTGATTTCTATTTTCCCAGCAAATGCGTGACAATCACGCCTTATAATGCGTGAGGGTTGACAGGGCAGTTTATATCTCCAATATCTCCATCCTCCGTTCCCGAAAGTCTGGAAGTAAGCAGCTGCTTCTGTGGCAATCAGGACTTCTCCTTGAGTGGATGTTTTTCATCAAAAAAATAAAATGGCAAAGTAACATACGAAATCTCAGAAGATTTCTATACTTTCCTACAAGAAAGTGCGGCCATTTGTTACGTTCATTCGGAAATTTCGGAGATTTCAAACACTACTTTGTGAATTTCCAGACTATTAGAAAAGAGTTGAAAGAATACTTTTTTCATAAGTTGTATAAAAAACAAGAAAATTTTAGTTTTTTATTCATTTTACAAAAAAAATATTCTTTATTCTCTTATCTAGAGACATTAGTGCACTCTTTGTGCATATCTGAAAGATGTAGACAATGTAGGAAAGGAAATATTAATCTTTGAAAAATAACATGTGACTCTATTGAGGATTGCATCAAAATTCCGAACATGCAGTCATTGAACTAAAATGTGTCATTCAAGTTTAAAGGGATAATAAGCTCACAAAATAAGTATAATTCATTTAAATATTAAGTATACGAGTATTATTAAAAAGATTGGTTGGGTTACATTTGTCCTCGATAGATGCATAAACAAACATATTCATTTCAATTTGGAGATATTCCAAAATCCATTCATAACAACCTGTTCCAATGATTTTCTGTGCCATCCCCATCTCTAGAAAATACTAGAGCATTTGATAACCAAAATATGTCATTTTTTCCTATCGTTATTTTCAGTATGGTGCAACCAGTGCCTGAGCATATTAACTTCCCAAAAGAAGAAGAAACTATCTGCGACCTCTGGAAAGACATTGATGCTTTTCAAACATCTCTGAAGCAGTCCAAGGGCAAACCAAGGTAAACATCTTAAAAAAGTTATGAAATAGTAAACACCTAGATTTTGCATAGAATATTTCAGCTAAGTTCAACTTTCTGCGGGAAAAAATCTACAAAAACTTTATTTGTTTCACTGTTGTTTGATGGATCCAGTGAAGAAGACTAGGTTTATCTAAAACAATCATCATGTAAACTGACTGTTGTTGTTTAATATACATGTAATGCCTTTATTCTATAGGTACACATTTTATGATGGTCCCCCATTTGCAACTGGGCTGCCCCATTATGGGCATATCTTGGCAGGTACTATCAAAGACATTGTTACCAGATGGGCACATCAGAGTGGATTCCATGTAGAGCGAAGATTCGGATGGGATTGTCATGGTCTGCCAGTGGTATGTATAGACTTATGATAACAACTTCATCATGTAATTGTGGGTTAAATAAGATCATTTTTAAAAGATGTTTTAAAAATTGTTATGAAGGCTAAAGTAATGCAGTATGATATCAGACCTGTAATATGTTTTATTCTTATATTTGTTCCATATTGCATAATCATTGTATTGTATTATAATTTAGGAATTTGAGATAGATAAAACTTTGGGCATTAAAGGACCAGAGGATGTGGCTAAGATTGGAATAGAAGCCTACAACAATGAGTGTCGCAAAATTGTCAGTAGATACGCAACTGAATGGGAAGTAAGTCTTACTTTATATTTGATTTGTGGTATTTAACTGGGCCAGTAATCTTTTTAATTTTTATTTTTCGTGTAGCCACTCAGTACAATTATGATTTCTCTGCACCACAATGTCCAATCAAGATCATTTGAGTGCCTATGTGTTCCTGAGACATTTGGGCTTTTAGTATTTGCACTTAGAAATTTCTTTTTTTTATTTTATCATATTGATATGCAGTGTATGCAGTTTTTTACATTTTAAAGTCAATATCCTGCCCCACATCCTGACTTATCCTTTATCTGAAATGTACAAAAGTTTTGTATCTGTGTTCCCAATTTTGACATTTTGATTTAAGCACATCCTTGTAAAAGGCAAATGGATTTAAAAAATTTAAGCCTCCTTCAAGTATGTTTCCTTATTATTTATAGACAATAATCGGACGTTTGGGAAGATGGATTGATTTCAAGAATGACTACAAGACAATGTACCCCTGGTTTATGGAGACCATATGGTGGATCTTTAAACAACTCTATGACAAGGGACTTGTATACAGGGGCTCTAAGGTATGTATGTTGATATGTTAGACTTGAATGGGTTTTTCTTTGAAATTTTTGAAGTCATTTGCAATGCCAAAAATCTGAGGAATAAAATTAAAAGATCCAAGAATCGACTTAGGGTACAATTGAATTTTTGAATGTAATATGGAGATTTCAAATCACGTTCAAGTATATACAGTAAAATGAAATATGCATGCATTGTTGTTACTCTTATCAGGTGATGCCATTCTCTACAGCCTGTAACACTCCCTTGTCTAACTTTGAGTCGGGACAGAACTACAAGGAAGTTGTTGATCCAGCAGGTAAAACCAGTTTACTATAACAACAGGCCCCATGCAGGTCTCTCACTTTTTAATTTTGTAATTGGTGCCATTATTGAAGGATTTAGGAATTTAACTGGCATTTGTTATTCATAGTATAATTAGTCATAGTGCCTGTTAGCCATGCTTTTAAATGGATATTAGATGAACATTATCTTGATAAATGCAATAAAAGAAACAAAATGAGAATGTGGGTGACATAAAAAAGGAACAGCATTCATATTTTTTAAGACGAGTGATATTGAAAATAATATTTAAGAGTAATTACATTTTTGAAGAGGGCGTAAATCTAAAATGTAATCAATAACATTTTGGGATATTGTCAATGTAAAATGTTTAGATAATTCTTAATGTACCATGTCTTGGTTGCAGTGACAGTCAGTTTCCCCCTGGTGGATGAACCTGGTGTTTCTCTGATAGCCTGGACCACAACCCCCTGGACTCTACCCAGTAATCTTGCCCTATGTGTCAACCCTCTACTTGACTATGTAAAAATCAAAGGTAAGCATGAACTAGGCAGACTTTCTGAAATCATAATAAAGTGTATCGTTAAATTTCCTAGATGTAAATGTTTGTTTATAGATAAATAGATTGTGTCTCGAAATAATTTTATTCACATTTATTGGTACTTGTATATTTTGAGGTATTTAAAAGAAAAAATGTTTAAAAAATTAATTATAAAACTAGTGATTGATATCAGCAATCTGTATCGTCCTTTGTTGATGATCTGTATAAAGTCACCTCTAGGTATTGCATTTTATGAGCTATTATTGACTATATACACAATTCTTTCTACTGGTAGATAACACAACTGAGAATGTGTACATTATGATGGAGGCAAGGCTATCTGCACTCTTTAAAAAGGAGGAGGAATACACAGTCTTAGAAAAGTAGGTGTAAAGATATGGGCGATGGGGAAATAAACTTAAAATAAGGTCCATCGAATTCAAGTATATCTTATATCAAATGTAATCAATATTCATCAGAGAATTTAGTTAATATTTTTCTGTAAAGAGATTATTGGAATAATTTTAATTTCTTTATTTTCAGATTTAAAGGAGAAACCTTGAAAGGCAAACAATACAAGCCGATCTTTCAATACTTTTATAAACAGGTAAACAATACAAACCAATCTTTCAATACTTTTATAAACAGGTAAACAATACAAACTCATCTTTCAATACTTTTATTCCCATCTTTCAATACTTTCATAAACAGGTTTTTAAGAGTCTTCATTCATTGTTGATACGTTTTTCAATGAGAAATTAGAAAACTCTCTTAAAATCTATGAAAGATTCTTACGTTACGAAATTGTTTTAAAAAGTTGCTTGTTATACATAGATCTGATTTTGATTTCCACAATGTTGAAACGATTGGAGGATGCGATCGAAATATGAACCGTCCTTGGGAAATTCATAACATGCAATATAGTAACAGACCTTCTATGAATAATTAAAATTGATATGAAAAAGATTGTGAAAATGGAATTCTTTACTATATTGACTGCAAGTGGACACAGGATTTTAGATTATATAGCCCCATTTTCCTCAGTACCATGACAACACAAACAAACATATAATTCACTATACATTGGTTTCCCCTGTGTATTATCCTGATGTATACTTATCATCTGTTCCTTTTTAGATGAAGGATAAAGGTGCATTTAGAGTGCTGACTGATAGCTATGTAACAGAGGAGACTGGTACAGGAATAGTTCATCAGGCTGCATATTTTGGAGAGGTAACTTTTGAATATCCAATGCCTTTATGGCCAAAAATGCTGCTTATATGCATTTTCTCAGTGGCTATCATCAAAGATGACACTACATGGAACCAATAACTCAACAATTATTATATAATTGCCTTATGTCTGTCCACAAATTCTGATTTTACTTTTTTCATCCAATACAGTGGTCATGTGATAGCAATATGACATATGGAAGACTTTTTTGAATATTTTCAAATCTTTTAAAGATATCGCCAAGGGAAATTGATGCATTATGGTGAAATTTCTTATTTATTTATTTAATAGTCCACATGAGTAGTGGTATATCTGAAAGTACTAAAATGTAAAAACATTAAAAAGGTCATTGATGTTTTAGGATGATTACCGTGTGTGCCTTGCCCATGGGATAATCACCAAGGATATGGAGATTATCTGTCCTGTCGATGCAAGTGGACGCTTTACAGATGAGGTCGCTGACTTTAAAGGACAGCATGTCAAGGTAAGGGAACTTTTTGCTTTTTAGTTCAGACATTTTTCATGAGATTGAGAGAATTGTGTTGTCGCAAAAGATTTAGGGCTTGTTAGTCTAAATTACAATTTGGCCAGTTGCAGAGTTATGTTCAAGTAAAAGCCGATTCATAACAAAAGCAATATGACTAGCCTGGAAGCCTTTAACTAGAGCACTGTTAGGGAGACACATGTGTAAATTCTAGGAACTCCAGCATATCTGGAAGGGAAGATCATCCTGATTCTTATTCTGATATCATACATGGGATGAATTTTATTTTACCAATTTAAAGGTAGTGACATAGTGCCAGTATTCAAGCATTACAATTTTTAATCATTAGGCCTGCTTTTTAGAACTTTTCTGTTTTATTGCTATCAGGATGCAGATAAAAACATCATCAAGTGGTTGAAGAATAATGGCAGAATGGTCCACCAGAGCACCGTGAAACATAGCTACCCATTCTGTTGGAGGTCTGAGACCCCCCTCATCTACAAGGCTGTACCTAGCTGGTTTGTCCGAGTACAACAGATGAGTCAGAATCTATTGGAGAATAACCAGAAAACATATTGGTATGTCAGACTTCATAACTGTCATAATATCATATTTGATATAATATGATGTGTCATGTAAAGAGGTCATATGTGTTCAGTTATGACATTGAAGACGTAGATGTGAAACATATATGCCTGATTCCATTTTACTTAATTTCATTTTAAACCTGATTTTTGAAGGGTACCAGATTTTGTGAAGGAGAAGAGGTTTGCAAACTGGCTAAGAGATGCTAGGGACTGGGCCATATCTCGAAACCGCTACTGGGGCACACCTATCCCCCTGTGGGTCAGTGACGATGGGAAAGAGGTATGGATTATGTACATGAATATCCATAAATAAATGCATTTGGAGTTGGCGATTCTTTGATGTCACAATAAGAAACCTATACCAAAAGACAAAAATATTTTACTGTTCATGGAATTGGATGTACTGTAAATGGTTACTGGCATAATAAAAACAACTTATTGATTTGTTATAGCATTTGTGTAAATTCCGGGAATTCTAATTTAGATATATTCTTGGGAATTGCTGATTTTCTGTTCAGAATGACTTGCATTTTTTGTGATGATATTTAGGTTGTGTGTATTGGATCTGTTGAGGAGCTAGCAGAGCTGAGTGGTACTAAAGTAGAAGATCTACATAGAGATACGTAAGTTGATGACAATATTGTATATAACTCATGCTTGGCAATTATGCTTGGGCATCTTGTTCTTCTATTTCTATTTATTTAAGATGCAACAGGCATATTTGCCCACAATGCAAATTTCAATACATACATTTATATAAAATATTAATATTAAATTATCTATAAGTGTAAAAAAGTTACTAAAATAGTTAATGTTAATGTAAAATGCATTAGTTGACTAGAGCTAGTGGTAAAATAAGTTTACTAAAAAAAAAAAAAAATTGTCCTTTTATATACATGAACTGACCTGCAGTTATCTATATATTTCTAAGATGGTTAATCACAGAATGTTTGAATGTTGGCACTTGTGAGTCTAAAATGTTCCCAGGTAATTTATTCCATTCCACTATTGTTCTTGGTATGAAACTATATTTATATAAGTCTGTCCTGGTATTGGGGATTATGAATTTGAGGGGATGAGAGTTCCTTGTTGTGACGAATTGGTTTTGGGGTCTGATGTAGGGAGGGATGTTAATGGCTGCTTTTCCATTCATTGCCTTGTGGAAAAGTGTTAGCCTTGCAATATATCTCCTATGTGCCAGGCTATCCCACTCTAGTTGTTTTAGTGCATTTGTGACACATCCAGGCTCCCTAGAGTAGCATCGAGTAACGAAGCGTGCTGCTCTTCGTTGCACCTGTTCTATCATGTGAGAATGATTTGCCCTATAAGGGTCCCAAACCCCACTGGCATATTCAAGATGGGGTCGCACAAGGGCTATGTATGATTGTGCTTTTACTTTCTCAGGGCAATTGTTGAGGTTTCTTCTTATGAATCCAAGTGCTTTATTAGCTTTCGTGGTGGCATGGGTGATGTGGGTATTCCATGTTAGTGAGCTATTGAGGTGTACTCCTAAATATGGATGGCTATCTACCGTTTTGAGATTTTGTCCTAGCATTGTATAATTACATATAATAGGGGTTTTCTTCCTGTGAATGCGCAGGATGAAGCATTTAGAGGGGTGAAATGACATTTGCCAGGTTTCTGCCCATTTCACAAGGGTATTGAGGTCGTATTGTAGTTTAGCAGAGTCGTTAATACTGTTTATAGGCCTATAGAGTAAGCTGTCATCTGCAAAGAGTTTAAGGTTTGTATCCTGGGTCACGTTATTGTTCATGTCGTTAATGAAGAGCAGGAAACAGAGTGGCCCGAGGACAGTTCCCTGAGGCACGCCAGATTTGACTGGGCAGCTTTTACTTGACTGACCTTCAAGAATTACTTGTTGGGTCCTATCTGTCAGCCAAGATTTGACCCATTTTAAAGTTTCTTCCACCTGTCTGTCTGTCTGTCTGTCCATCCATCTGTCATCTGGTTTATCGAAATAAAGATGAATTGAAAAAGGTGTCTGACAATTTAGATCATCGGTCTAACTGTGCCAACATTCATGTTAGACGCCACCTCAACTTCAAATACTTAACACTGACTCACTGACTCGGATGTGATCTTCATTTTCCAAACTCTGAGTGTGCTAGAACAGTAATCACAAGTTCAGGAAAGATGGTCACATGGGTATCCTATATAAATAATAAGTATATTATCATATTATACAATTATATATAACAAGTCACTGGCTGATTTTGTGAATTACAAATGAAAGTAAGCATTATACATGTAGGTTATACTGATCATGGCTTGAACAGTGGTCCTTCAGTGTACTTTCACCATCTTATGCCAGAACCCAGAGTACTATTAATTATGACTTTATTATATCATATATTGTGACTTAATTTGTTTTTCTAGGGTTGATAAGATCACAATCCCATCAGCCAGTGGAAAGGGGGTACTGCGCAGAGTCCCAGAGGTCTTTGATTGCTGGTTTGAATCAGGTAAACAACAAATGTATAAACTCAATGGTTGAATTTATTTCAAATTCTGAAATGAATAAATAGGTGCTTTATTGCTCTATACCTATACTATCCCCATTCTGCACTGTGCCAGATTAGAATTTTGCTGTACTATACTTATGATATAATGAATTATATTCATACTGCACTGCGCTAAATGGTACCAATTAAACTCATAGTGTACTGAATAAACTCATACTGCACTAGACTGAATTCATACCATACTATAGGGCCCTACTTATAGTGCACATGTATTTACTATTTATTCAAAAAAGGCTAACTTTATCCAATAACTCTACCAACATTCTCCTCTTATTCATTATACTGAGATCATACTGTGACATCCCAAAGCACAGTTGACCTCCTTGACTGCCCAGAAGTTCATTTGCTAAAATCGAGTATTTCAGCTAAGGTGCAAATAATTCATAACATACTTATACTAAATGTATCATTGTTCTGATTCTAGGAAGCATGCCATACGCTCAAGCTCACTACCCATTTGAAAACAAGAAAGAATTTGAAGATTGTTTCCCTGCTGATTTCATAGCTGAGGGTATCGACCAGACTAGAGGATGGTGAGTGGTTCTTGCTTGCTAGATCACTATTGGTTTATATAATGTGCATGATCATCTTCATGGAGGCATTGTTGCTATTATCACTGCTTTTTGCTTTGTGAGTTCTCATGATTTTTTTCTGAATCGAAAAAATTTCACTCACAATTTTGACCAAATTAATTTTTCTCATTTCAAAATGGATATAAATTTGTTACTAATTACAATTAGGTTCAAGCCTGTTTTCAAAATGGCAGGTGGGTGCAGCGCCTATTTTATTCAGTGCTGGCAGATTACTGACTTTACTGAATGCCTCATTTAATACATCCTCCTAAGCAGCTATCCAGAATCCGTACCTCCTTCTTCCCCCTGCTATAACAAATTTGGAAGCGCCCGGAATCACGTGATTTAATTATGCGCGATGACTTATACATGATTTCTGTCGCAGTGTTGCGACAGCCAATCAGATTGCGAGTTCTTAATCGGAAATGCTAACTGCTTATCGAAGGGGGTAAAAAGAAAAAATATATTATGCATTTGATAAAATGTATAGGTGTTGAATGAACACACGAGATAAAGTTCATTGATGATCGCTGTTTTATTATGTGTTGTTGCAAATACAGATATAAATAATATATGCTGTAAGTTCTAATTTCAGTAATTTGTATTAATTGTGTTTAAAGTATAATTGATCCTTTTTTCAGGTTCTACACACTCCTGGTTCTCTCCTCTTCCCTATTTGGAAAGCCTCCCTTCAAGAACCTTATCGTCAATGGACTTGTACTTGCCAGGTATGTATTTTTCATAAATATTCCAACAAATCTAGCTTTATTTGGATAGTGTGGTGTTTTTGGCAATTATTCTAATGCCAGTGGATTTATTATCCCATCGAACGAAGTTCGGAGGGATATAGGGAACGCCTCCGTCCGTCTGTCCGTCCGGGCAATAACTCAAATACCGTTGGCCCGATTTTGTTCATATTTTGTACACATATACCCTATTAAGGTAGAAGTTCTGCTCGAAAACCGATTTTCAAAATGGCCGCTCATTTAAAAATGGCGGCCATTTTAGTGCCGATTTTACAGTAATTTAGTTGCAATATGTAAAACTGTAATAGCATTATGTTTTAAATGTCAAATAATGATATAGGACATTGATAAAGCTAGAAATGTAGATATTAAAGAAGCACATGGCAGCCATCTTGAAAAATGGCGGCCTTTACTCGTTATTTTACGATTTTTGCTGTAACTCAAGAAGTAGTGGAGCGATTTTCTTCATATTTGGTATGAGAAATCCATAAGCATGGCTCACTGTCTAATGACACTTTTGGTAGGAGGCAGCCATTTTGAAAAATGGCCGCCATTTTAAATGGCTGCCATTTTAACATATTTTACTATAACTCAAAAAGTAGTGGAGCGATTTTGTTCATATTTGGTTTGTGAATACTATGAGCATGGTACACTGTCTAATGACACTTTCAGTAGAAGGCGGCCATTGAAAAAATGGCCGCCATATTAACATATTTTTTTTCCTATAACTCGAAGAGTAGTGGAGCGATTTTGTTCATATTTGGTATGTGAATAATATAAGCATGGCACACTGTCTAATGACACTTTCGGTAGAAGGTGGCCATTTTAAAAAATGGTCGCCATTTTAACATATTTTACTGTAACTCGAAAAGTGGTGGAGCGATTTTGTTCATATTTGGTATGTGAATACTATAAGCACGGCACACTGTCTAATGACACTTTTGGTAGAAGGCGGCCATTTTGAAAAATGGCCACTATTTTAAAGTATTTTACTCGAAAAGTAGTGAAGCAATTTTGTGCATATTTGGTATGCGAATACTAAAAAAAAGCATATTACTTCTTCTGATGACAACTTGGCTAGTGAGCAACCACTTTGAAAATGGTGGCCTTTCTTATGTGTGTTATTTCATGATATTTGCTTTTCTATTTCGTTTGTAAAAATGCCAGCCATTTCTGTTCGATGGGATTCGCTACGCTTTGGCGTTGCCATTGTTCTGGTTTAGTACAGATTTGTCGGTAAGATGAACAATGCTAAATATTTAAGGAATAAATAATGATAGGCCATTCAATATGGTGAAATTCAGCACGAGTTGGACAGAATGTCCTTCAAAGCAGGAACCAAAGGTGAGTGCATTTGTACTGACATAATACAACCTAATACAACACAATACATGTACATAGATTCCTGGAAGCAGATTAAATAGAGCATGGTCGTGCCTGTATGGAGAAATAATGAACGTTCATTGTTGACTATGCTGCATTCTGATTGGTTTAGAAATTCAAATAGAGCACGGTCATGTTTGAATCTTATATAAAGGATGCCTTATATTCAAAAATAACATAATGCATGTAATAAGGCATTTCCTACAATCAATACTTATTTTTTCTTTCCATTTTGTTTATCACCCCACTGCCATATTTTTATTATGCCATGTCTATTTCGTTTTCAGCGATGGTGAAAAGATGAGCAAAAGGAAAAAGAACTACCCTGATCCAATGGCGGTTGTGAACAAGTATGGAGCTGATGCCTTGAGGTAGGACACCAATAGTTGTACCAATGTATGCCTCACAAAATTAAATTTTATTTTAGGATGGGATGGGTTGAAGTATTATGTGCCAGTATAATTGGATGGCATCTTGTGAGATGGCATCAAGCGAAGTTGAGAAGTTATGTTAAAACAAATGTTGATGGTATAGAGTAAAGTAAAGAAAAAGATTGATTTTTTTCGGTTTGACGTGACTGACACAAGTTAAGAATTAAAGGGTCTGTAATCAAAATTGGTTTATTCCAAGACTTGTTGAAGATGTTCACTATGGTAAATATGAAGTTAAACAAGCACATATTTCTTCTATTTCCAGGTTGTACTTGATCAACTCTCCTGTAGTGAGGGCAGAAAGTTTGAAGTTCAAGGAAGATGGTGTTAGGGATGTGCTGAAGGATGTGTTTTTACCCTGGTACAATGCTTACAGATTCTTAATGCAGAATATTGAGAGACTTGAAAGGGTAAGGATGCTTACATGGGATGTTGCAAACTTTCTTGAACAAAGAACTTCTTAATGTCCATATCTTGTCTACATTCTAATCTGATATTTATGTGTTTTACAGGAGGAGAACATCCAATTCTTGTACAATGAGAAAACAGCATCTCTCCCTGTGAACTATATGGACAAGTGGATCCTAACATTCACTCAGAGTCTCATCAAGTTTGTGCGTAAAGAGATGGAGGGTATGTGTGTAATATATTAGTATGTTAATATTAAATGCTCATGTAATTATGACACATGTTTTTAAATGCTTTTATTCTGTTCAACTTTCTATTTTGAGTAATATAATATTGGTTGAAATACATTGATTAAATTGGTAATAAAACCAACACTATGGAAAATTTGGGTTCTTTCTGTGAAATAATGTATAAATTAAAACATATTACTATGGTTACATATATGCTAAGGGGAGGGCCAATTGTTATCCCTACCAATGCTAATTTAATCTATATGAAAAGTATGATACAATAATAAACAATACATTTTGTCTTCCATATATTTTCATATAGCCTATAGACTTTACACTGTGGTACCAAGACTTATAAAGTTTGTTGACCAGCTGACCAATTGGTTTGTTAGGATGAACAGGAAAAGGTTGAAGGTAAGATAAAATTATGACAACCTAACATTTGATTTTAAATCGAAAGAGAAACTGGTCATATGTTTTTCAAAATCATCGAAAGAATTAGCTGGGGGATGAGTCAATGTATTGACTTTTAAAAATTAAATATTCAATTTAGCTAACTCAATCACACATATATGCTTAATGCTTAATGTCCTATACTTCTGAGAGCCAAAAATGTCAATTTGTATCATATTTTTTGAAGAATGTTGCAGTCAAAAAAATTACCGTACTATGTAATTTCAAGTACAAATACTCAATGCCTAATTTTTACAAAAACATAGTTATTACTTTCTGGGTAGAGACATTGAATGGTATTTTATGAAAACTAATAACTTTTTAACTGGAGTAGAGAGTCTTATGTAGTGATTGTTTTTAGGGAGACAGTGGAAGTGAGGATTGCACCCAAGCCTTAGAGACACTCTTCAGTGTTATATACTCCATGTGTAAGGTCATGGTAAGTTCAACTGTTTTGCTTCTTCAATATACCTCATCAGTGATCTCCCACCATTACTGTAACTGGCCGTTGCACTCTGTAGAAAATCTAAAATTTAGAAGCCACCCTCTTGAAAATGAAAAACTGATGAATTATGAATTGGCACCCTATTGAGATCACTATCTTCAAAATTCAAACCAAAATAATTTTGTGAACATTTCATCATGTTAAAATATATTAATCTACATTTATAGTTATATGCCTTGTAAAAGTACAGCTATTGCTAAAAATGCTATTGAACTACCTACCAAGGATATGCAGTTTCATGTGGACAATTAAATTTAATATCATAATTATCTGGACCTAAGAGAATATATATGATTGTGTATTATTCCTTGCTTTCATGTAAATGCAGCCTCATTTCATGGCATATGATCATGGTTTAATCAGCCATTTATTTGTCATTTATTTCTTATTTATATGTAATTAATTGTCCTTATTTCAGGCACCATTTATCCCATTTCTGACTGAACACATGTACCAGAATCTGAAACATTTGTTACATCCAGATTCTGAGGATGGCAGTAAGCAGGGGAGTATCCACTACCTTATGTTGCCTCATCCAAGGTATTTTAATGAAAAGTTTACAAATGGAATTAATCAATTCATAAGGAGTGATGTTGAAGTGTAATATAAGTATTTTGAACTTACTGTGTAAGGTATGTTCTCACCACCAAATAAAGTTACATATTGTTATATTTTCCAACTTTTTATTTGCTCTCACTAAAATCACAAATGTGTTCAGATTCAATGGATATGATGGAAGTCATTAACAAGGTACATACAATTAGAAGTTATATTGCAAATTGTATTGGTTTTGTGTTCCAGAGAGGAGTTGATTCATGCTGAGATTGAGGAGGCAGTGTTACGTATGCAGACCGTAGTTGAGCTAGGACGTGTCGTCAGGGACAGGGCTACTATGCCTGTAAAAGTAAGCAGTATTTATTCATTAGAACAGTCACGTTAAAAGGCCTAGAAGGGACACCGATGAGTTGAGAATATGTTTAGAAAAGTTTTCAAAATTTTAAAATATTTTTTGCAGTTTCATATTTGAGGTAAGATTTGAATGTTCCTTATCACCCACCATTCCAAGGTTTACAAGCATCGTTGACTCAAAAAAGTTTAATGTTGAACGAACATGAGAATTAGGAAATCAAAAATTCTTATTTTACCTTGTACAGTGGACGAACCAAATTTCAAGTTTATGTACCGAGAATACTGTTGAAACTTTCCTGATCATGGTAACAGAGTACCCCTGTGAACCCTTTAACCTCTAATAATTTTTAAATCAATATTCAATGAGAAAACTAGTTAGATTCATTCATGTTAAAAATATAGCACTTTTCATCTTACTTTATGATCACCCTGTAAAATCAATGTAAAATCAATGTAATGCTGGAGTCATCATTTATTTGAATGTTCATTCTATGTACAAAAGCAACATCCCTTTTGTTGATAAACTGCTATCTATCTCTTTTCTAGTACCCATTGAGGGAGATTGTTGTGATCCACCAGGAGCAAGCTGTACTGGATGATGTCAGATCATCTCAGAAATACATATTAGAAGTAAGATAACAAATCATCAGGGTGCCGATCAATTCTGATTTCAGATTTTCAATTCTAAGAAAATTTCCTATTGTCAACAATCAACTTGTAATATGTTCTCATCTTATTCTTAAATGATCATGATAACATTACCTGGACTTCAAATCCCAGTAGTATAGCTAGAGGTTAGCTTTAATATTCAAATGTTGAAAGTGTGTAAATGATATTAAGATTAGTTGAATTAAATTGTTTTCCTATAGTAAAAAATTTTTTATGATTGCATAAGTTTCAATGATTATCCCATCGAACGAAGTTCGGAGGGATATAGGGAACACCTCCGTCCGTCCGTCCGTCTGTCCATCCGTCCGTACGTACGTCCATCCGTCCGTCCGTCCGTCCGGGCAATAACTCAAATACCGTCGGCCCGATTTTATTCATATTTTGTACACATATACCATATGAGAGTAGAAGTTCTGCCCGAAAGCCGATTTTCAAAATGGCCGCTCATTTCAAAATGGCGGCCATTTTAGTGCCGAATTTACAGTAATTTAGGTACAATATGTAAAACTGTAATAGCAATATGTTTTAGATGTAAAAAAATTATATAGGACATTAATAAAGCAAGAAATGTAGATATTAAAGAAGCACATGGCAGCCATCTTGAAAAATGGCGGTCTTTACTCGTTATTTTACGATTTTTGCTGTAACTCGAAAAGTAGTGGAGCGATTTTGTTCATATTTGGTATGTGAATACTATAAACATTGCACACTGTCTAAAGACACTTTAAATAGAAGGCGGCCATTTTGAAAAATTGAAAAATGGCCACCATTTTTCAAAATGGCCACTATTTTAACGTATTTTACTATAACTCGAAAAGTAGTGGAGCGATTTTGTTCATATTTGGTATGTGAATACTATAAGCATGACACACTGTCCTATGACACTTTTGGTAGAAAGCGGCCATTTTGAAAAATGGCCGCCATTTTAACGTATTTTACTATAACTCGAAAAGTAGTGAAGCGATTTTGTTCATATTTGGTATGTGAATACTGTAAGCATGACACACTGTCTAATGACACTTTTGGTAGAAGTCGGTCATTTTTCAAAATGGCCGCCATTTTAACGTATTTTACAATAACTCGAAAAGTAGTGGAGCGATTTTGTTTATATTTGGTATGTGAATACTATAAGCATGGCACATGGTCTAATGACACTTTTGGAAGAAGGCGGCCATTTTGAAAAATGCCATCCATGGCTGTTCGATGGGATTCGCTACGCTTTGGCGTTGCCGTTGTTCTGGTTTCATATTATTAATTAAGATCAAATAGGCATACTTAAATTTATCTACATTTCCAGGAACTCAATGTAAGAAAACTGACTACAACAACTGACAAAGAAAAATATGGTGTCCATCTGCGAGCAGAACCAGACCATAAAACATTGGGCCCCAGACTTGGTGGTGCTTTCAAAACAATCATTGGTGATATCAAAAAACTATCTGATGGACAGCTCCAAGACTTTTTGAAATCTGGAAAGATCACTGTAAAAGGTCATGACCTTGGACCTGAAGACCTTCGCATCATGTATACTTTTGACAGCTCATCGAAGTCAACTCCAAACTGTTACGAGGCCCATTCTGACAATGATGTAAGTTCAAAAGATGTATAGTACCAGGTTGCCTGTAAATGTATGAAAAAGTGCATGCCGCTAGTCACAATTCTGTTTTACAAAAATGGTTAACTGCTGAAATTTGAGAGGGACAGGAATGGTTTCTGAATGGTTTATTTTAATTGTGATATGATTCCCGTAAGTATTTGACATTCTGATACTTAACACATCTTTCTAAGACAACCTTTTATATTATAAGACAATTGTTTTTTGCTCATCTGATGGGATGAGTTACAACTGTCATTAAATGATGTTTAATTTATAATTATTCCCCTTACATTACCTAATGGGCCTTCATATTCTATTGTCAAGGCCATTTGGTATAACACAGGCTCAGGTGACGAAATCTCCTAAGGTAGTTTAATTACCCCTTATTCTCTGAAACAAAGCTTAAATCTAAGATCTCTTGGTTCACTAATTGTAGCCCATTATGCCTTGGCATCTCATTGCTAGCAAAGTTGAGGTATCATGATGAGCATTTCCCAAAAATACTTGATTATCTTTACAGATTCTGATTCTCCTAGATGTCACTCCTGACCAGTCCATGTTGGATGAAGGTCTTGCCCGTGAGATTATCAACAGATTGCAGAAACTTCGTAAAAAGGCGCATCTAGTCCCTGCTGATGACATCACAGTGTTTTACAAAGCAAGTGGAGCCCTGACTCGAGTGGCAAAGGATTTTAATGACTTTATAACCCAATCTATCAAGCAGCCACTTTTACCATTTCCAGTTGTTGGAAATGGTAAAGAAATTATCTCAGAAAAAACTCAAGTAAGTTATTTATTTTTGTCGCACTACATGCCACATAAACCTTGTTAGCAAAATTCCCGGAAAACCACCTATTCCATTTTACAGATGCGAGAGCATAAGTGCTAACATATGATTAGGTTTTGGGCATGCTGGGTAAATTACATGGCAGCCATTTTGTTTGTCATTATTCAGTATTTTTCACTGTGCGTCTTTTTAACTAATTATTCATCAAAATCAATTTGAAATTATTCAAATTTTCAATTCATTTGTAATTTCATGATTATAGGATATTATAATTACCAGCCATTCACAAAGTGGTCATAGCTATAAACTAAATTATTACAGATCAAGGGTGATGACCTTGAGATGACCTTGGTGGAGGGTCATGTACTAGAGTTGGCCCAATCCCAATCTGCCACCACTAGTACAACAAATGGACTTGCCCCATTCTGCAAGTTTGTCAATGTGGAGCTATGTGATGCTGCTCCTCAGTGCGGTGTGAAGGGGACACAGGGTACAGTACTATTAGAGAACCCTAAAGGAGACTTTATCATCACTCTGGATGAGCTTGTCAAACAGGTATGTTAAATGGAGCCATTTCAGACCTTGTCTAAAGTGTCCAGTGTCAAATTGAAAAATTTCTCACAGAAGTAATCTGCAGTTGGAATACAAGGTTTGATGAAATGAAATTATTTTTTATTTCTAGCAGTGTCTGAAGATCCTTTAAGTAGAAATTAATAGAAACCATTGTAAATTCATAGTAAACATTGTTCTCTACCTATCGTCTACTATGTCTGATGAATTTTCAAGTTTATTTACATTTTACTTTCCAGGTGAAGATCATATTTGGACTACAAAACAAGACTCTGAGAGTTTATGGTTCAAAATCAAGAAAGGATGAAATTAAGACTCTAAAAGAAGCTCTGACTTTACATACTAAAACATTGTATGTATTTGCCAATTGATGCTAAAAGATGCTAGCAGTCTTCATATACAGCAATCTTGTACAGTAAAACCGAAGTGGAAAACCTTTACTACCTCTAAAAAGTGTTCCACTTTACAGGTTTCGCTGTATTTCAAAATGATTTCATGCATGTCATGTGTTATTGTGTATTTAATATTTTATTGTTGTATTGGTTCTATAGGATGAAGTATATGTGTAAAATTAAACCAGACTAAAAACCAAATGAAAGGTGAAAAGCAATAGATTTGTTTTACATGTATTTGTACACTAATACCATAATACTTAAAATTATAAAAAATAAAGTTGTTGCATCTTATTTATGACCCTCAACAATATGTCTTACCTACAGTGTAAGTTATTATTTTCCAGTATATGTAGCACATTCGAGTGATACGCCTTATAATTGTTTACACATAAAAAAAGATAGGTAATTAAGGAAGTACATGTATGTATTCCTTTCTCCACTGGGACTTGCTGCAAAGTGTACATCCTTAAAGTTTATATAATAAATGAAAATATTTTGACCAATGCAGAAAACCAAAACATAAAGTGAGAATTGTTATCCTTTGCAAGATGTCTTTCACTACTGTACCAATAAAACTGATCTGGCTGAGTCAATCAAAGCTTGTACATTTACACTGAGCTTTATCAATATGACACAGCAATGCTTTGATTGGTGGAATGCCAGACAGGAAAATAATCGGTCTGAGAGGAGAAGTGTATTGCAGTAAAATCTGTGTTTATTGAAGAGGAGTAGTGTATTACAGTAGAACTGTGTATATTATTTTGCCAAGCAAATACGTTCAGTGTTGGTAGGTCTTCACTACAGCCCAGAGAGAGTAATTTATACAGGAGTCCGTGGAGGAAGGGTATTCACTAGAGAGAAGTGTTCATTAAGACAGGTTTTACTGTAGCTGATGAGATCATAATAGTGCCTTGTCTTTATTCTGTTGTTCTTAACAGAATAAGAGAGTTTTTTATTTGCCAATGTGAAAAATTTGGAAAGCTAGATCTTGATATGCACAATTGATGATCAGGCACACTTTCAGTATCATTCATGGTAACTTTATTGATGTTTGTCTTCAAAATGTTTTTATTTCCAAAATATTGCCAAAATAATGTTAATAATAATGTAATATGATTGCAATTAATAAAAATAGAAACTTATTTTCTTTATGTTGTGTTCTTTTCCTTTCTGTTTCTATAATGCTAAATGTGCATTGTATAAAATAACCCAGGAAACTTTAGAAAGAAGACTTCAAGGGACAGTGTTTGAAATAACACAACGCCCAACTATACTGTATAATGGGACAAAAGTATGAAATCTTGAAAATCCCAATAGTCTTCAGAAGCAGTGGAATTATAAATATCCAGACATGACGTGGCCCGGTTTTGACCAATTCTACAACAGTGATATGATATTGATACGGATCGTTTTTATAACTTTTGATTTGAATTTAGTCGCACACAGCACACCACTGTAAAACTTACCCTGTCTATAGCTTATTTTATCAAATTTTTGGAGAATGAGAAATTAAGTTTAACATCTATTGAAAGCCCATGATGGAACTAATAAAATGCCTTCATATAGACTGACAAGTTGGCAACATATATTTGGTATAATCTAAAATAGTCGACCAAATTAAACAACACACCAATGTTTCTCGCCCTCTTTGATACCCTTTGCAATCGTTCGACTTTGCTTCTTTAGAGAGAGGTTCGATTCACGGGGAGTTAGTCACCCCCCCCCTCTCTATATAACAATATAATAAATTATTTATTATATTGTTATATAGAGAGGGTGGGTGACTAACTCCCCGTGGTTCGGTTCAGTAGTTTCGATGCGCGCACTGGCAGGGTATCTCTTACAGTTCCCACCAATTTTATAACCAAATGTTCAGAGACAGATTAAGCTTAATTAATTATAACGGACGCGCATGAATTTGGTAAATGACAAAATTTATTTACATTAAGCTTACGTAGTTCTTATTTTATTGGTTTATAATAGCGTTAGGCTTAGGAAGGGGCAGGGCTACCCCGACATAAACTTTTACAATATCCTGATAGTGCTTTCTGGACATTTTCAATCCTCTTTTCGAGCCGGGGGAGCGAGGGAACACAGGGGGGTGCGCCATTCATTTTGAAACCAGTTTGTTCAAGTTGTTATCTGATCTGTTTTGAGTAAGGTAGTATAGTAAATGGTTTATTATGGGGGTGCCGGATTTCTGGGCACAATTGTTCATAGCTTGAAATGGCCAAACTCCCCGAAAAAAATCAAAAAATAGTTCAAATTCTATTTTTGTGTGCATGGGCTTAGCACGGGACTCTCGTTCGTAGATTTCAGTCAATCTCAAATGACCAAGAAAGAGCCTGTAGGTTGTTAGCATTAGCTAGACTAGGCATGGAGTAACCTCTTCACTAAATCACCTCACTTAGTAAGTTAGTAGTAGATAATTTACCACTTTCAAGATGCTCCCTATCTGACTGGCCTGCATTATGCCTCCATGTACCAACCAATTCGAGAATCAGAATGAATCAAGCTCATAATAAGTCACATAATCGAAATTTGAAAGTTCCGCCACCTTCTCGACCGCCCTTTTTTAAACTAGGAGCGTCTCGCCTTACGTAAGAGGTAATTCTACTTTTCACTCTCTTTTTGGCAAATTACCCCTCCCACGAGAATCACTAAAATCCGGCTACAAAAGAATATCTTTTTGAATTAACATTTTACATAGAGTATGCATATTCTATCAAGAATAATTGATTTTCAAATATATTTGACTTGCACCTTATTTCCTATCTGACACATTGAAAAATCACAGAAGATAGTCTTAGGCAAGTATAAAACTGACTCCGAGAAAAATTAATGTAATCCCCAACCCATTAATAGAGTGGAACGATTGACAGATAAGAAAATACCCCGTACGGAACAACTTAAAATTTAATCTTTAGGGCCGTTTTGCCCCATCGGTTCCCTTTAGTTAAGGGGGACCCATGCCCCCCCCCCCTTGATCCCTGACTTAATGCGAATTCAGTTGATCGGATCCATTCTGAATTGAAAGTCTTCACTGATCAACAAATCAATCGATGTCAAATAGATTAAAGAAGAATATGATCCGTCCCCAATCGGACACTGTTTTATATGTCTCTCAATAAACAGAATGACACCTTGAAGGCTTCAATCCGACAAATCAATCCGGAATGCTAATTAGAAGTGACAACTTGACGGAACCTCGAGAGCCTCGAGAGCCTCGAGAGCCTCGAGAGATATGATCCGTCCCCAATCCAATCACCTGGGGCCATGAATTGGTACCATCCGTAAACAGAATGATGACATCTTCAATCCGAACAATCAATCAATGCCAATGTCTTCTAATTAGAAGTACATGATGTAACGTTTAGAGAGATATGATCCGTCCCCAATCCAATCACCTGGCAACTTGTTTACGTTGCAAAGGTGAAGACACTTCCTGGTTTAGAAACTGGTACGTTTACAAGTCATTCGGGACATTTCGTAAGTATATTTAACACTAAAAGGTACATTCGAATAATCTGAATACAATGGACGTTAGTTTAGAACTCAATTTCAAGGCATTGTGTCGATTTGAAAAGAAAAATTGATGCAATATTTTGCCGGCAAAAAAATTATGGTCGTCTTGTGAAGTTGAGAGAATTTGATATCCATACATTAGAATATCTTCATATTCTGTATTTTTCTCAACATTTCATCAATATTGCAAATGCTCCGACACATCTTTATATAATAATTCATCTTCAAGTACCACATAAATCTTGAGTTTGCATCATTTAGAAACCATGATATGCATTTTTCTAACTGTCAAATCTCGTTCGTCTCCCCACGTGTGACTTCATGGTCCGCCATTTTGGATTTCTTGAACCAAGATCTACGAAGCCTTTTGAAAGAAAGAAGTCAAATTTCTCCGCAATTATTTCATTTAGCGATTTGCCTCTGTCACACATAGACGAGTCATTATATACTCCAATTTTATGAGTGATATCAGTGCAATTGGTGTTGTACATACTTCGAATTACATGTGTTTCTTTGCCCTACGTTTAGATGTCCAATTTGACTGAATCTCACGATCAAAGCTCTACTCCTCCCACAAAGAAGCGGAAAATCGACGCCACTACGGGTGCCAATTGTACTAGTACAGTCGTGCCTTCAAACACCGTAAGTATTGTGTAGCAAATATAAAAAAAAATTGTTCGTGGAAAAGAAATTGTGGGATGAATTTCATAGCCTCTTTCTCAAAATGCTGAATGTCTTTGTTCAAAACATGAAGTTTCATAATTTACAAAATGTCATAATGGGACAGGAACACTGGCCCCCCACCTGGTTATCAAGACGTTACATCTGTATAACAAAATGAATGAACGGGGCCCTATCTGTTGCAAGACTTATGCACAACTGTCACCATGTTATTTTATCCCGTGCCAGGACTATAGTCCTGCGAACGTCTTATTCTTTTGCCTGTACGATTACAACATTGGAGAATTTTTTACGCTTCTTACACTGAAGATACCTATTTCAATAGATTCCTTGGTATTTTAGCATTCTTTTCGTGTAGTTGAATCCACAATTGTCTGGGTTTATCGGCAGAACAAAGAAATTTTCGTTTTTGATCGCAATATTTGCGTGTAATATTTAATTATTTCAACCGTCAAATTCTTCCATTTATTGGTACATCCGGGCCACTTCCGGGTCAGTCAAACGGGGAATCCCCTTTTAAATCCAACCGCCATCTTGGAAAGTGATGGAATATCTCTCGATGAAAAAAAAAATGTTCCCATTCTGCCAATATACCCAAACAATTGTGGATTCAACTACACGAAAAGATTGCTAAAATACCCAGGAATCTATTGAAGTAGGTATCTTAAGTGTAAGGGACGTAGATAATTCTCCCAAGTTGTAATCGTACAGGCAAAAGAATGCGCTCATTACAGGACTACAGTCCTGGTACGGGATAAATGTTATTAAGTGTTTTTAAGTTTCGCAAGGATCCTGCCCCCGGGGGTTCACTGTATATAAACCTTGACGGGGATCCTCGGCGCACATGGGGTACCTTTTTGGACATTTGGTATGGCAATGGACCCAAATTTTAGGATGTAGTATGAGAATGCCCCCTCATTAAACTTTTGATGGATGGAAATGGTCAGATTTTTCAACTTTCTGGTATGAGAATGGTCATGGAAAATATGTTATCTCACAATTATGGTATGGAATTGGTCTAGTAGTTAAACATATTCTAATATGAGGTTGTTTTGGTTCGTTTTCCTCAAAGATCGCCTTCTTCTTGGGACCTTCTTCAGTTTAAATAAATAGCTTTTTTCCCAGGAAATATTCTACTTTGGACCAGTCATGGCATTGGTATAGCATTGGTCCTATATTTTGACATTTGGTATGGCATTGGTTTCATATTTGGGCATTTGGGATGGCTTTTGGGCAAAATATCGGTTGGAATGGGAACACATTCATATTTGACATTTTGGTATGGGAATATATTGATATCTGAGGGTTCAGCCTAGGACCCCTGACAAATTTTGTACACAGTGAACCCCCCGGGATCCTGCCATGACCGTGGTAGTGTTATCGTGAAAGCTTTAACATTACCGCAGTCATGACAGACCTTGCAATATAATATGGCATTGTCACGGTTATACCAGGCTTTCAAGATAACAGTACCGCGGTCATGGCAGGATCCTTGCGAAACATATAATAACATGGTGACGGTTAAGCCAGGCATAAGTCTTGCAATAGATAGCATGTGGAATGAACTTCCGTAGGAGGACATTTTTATTTTCACCTACATATGAGGTCTATTGGCGTCCACAGGTTACTGAAAGTGAATAAGTCAAGAGTAAATACATCCAAAGGCTCTAATGGAGTGAGAAACCCCTTGCTTTAGCAACCACAATATTAATAAGGCTATTACCATGGTCGTAGTGCCTGTTACGCACAGTACGTATGTCACACGTGCGTACCAAATGAATTTGAAAAAAGTTTAAAATGTGTTAAAATGCATTAATTTGTTTGCACATTTATTGATGATTCTGTATTCGTATATTTAACCATAAAGTTTTATCAGAATAGAACTATTAAAGTTGATAAAAAACGTTCAGGTAGCATCAAATAACAGAAATTAAGGTTTAGACATGAAGATTGTTGAAATCATTTAAAATATGCTCAGTATTCAATGAATATCACTGCATTACTACTTCTATTATACCTTGTTAAAATCTTAAGTGAATCCAGGGATATTGCTATTTTTGGACAAAACTTGCATTTTGACTGGCAAATCATGTTAATGAGGTATTTATGAATGTATAAATGTGCACATACAAAGAACACATACCTGTCAAAATTGGTTGGTCAAAATCCTATGTCCCCTTATCTTATCCCGTTCCCGGACTATAGTCCTGCACTGAGCGCATTCATTTGCCTGTACGATTACAACTTGGGAGAATTATCTACGCCCCTTACACTTAAGATACCTACCTCAATGCATTATAGAACTCAAGATGTAACTTCTAATATATTGGAACCGCCAATTGTCTGGGTATATCGGCAGAACGGGAACATTTCTCTTTTTCATTGAGAGAGATTCCATCACTTTTCAAAATGGCGGTTGGATTTAAAAGGGGAATCCCCCGTTTGGCTGTCCCGGATGTAGCCCGGAAGTACCAATATGGAGGAATTTGATGGTTGAAATAAGTTAAATGTTACAAGCAAATATTGCGATCAAAAGCGAAAATGTCTTCGTTCTGCCGATAAACCCAGACAATTGTGGATTCAACTACACGAAAAGAATGCTAAATTACCAAGGAATCTATTGAAGTAGGTATCTGAAGTGTAAGATGAGTAAATAATTCTCCCATGTTGTAATCGCACAGGCAAAAGATTGAGATGTTCACAGGACCATAGTCCGGGAACGGGATAACCCTTATCTATCTTGATGGACCCCCTCTTAATAGATAATTATAAACTTAATATATCGGTAAAATAATCTTAATACTAAAAGGGTACTGAAATGATTAAAGCACAGAAGCATCAACTTATAGGATATAAAATTTAAATAAGTCTTATATCAAGCCCTTGTACCCTCATCTATTAACTAACTTTTAGAGAGGCACTTTGGAGGGGGAGGGGGTACAGAGGCTTGATGCAAGATTGTTCAGGTAGCATCTACCATTGAAGTTTCCCTTTTCATGGCTTGTTCATTTTCACATCTGGTAACTGTTCTGTGCTTCAGTTAGTTCAGATAACCTGATTGATCTGTAATATTTGCTAGTTTGTTAGAATTTCTTGTTCATACTAACAATTGTACTTTTGTTTGATGTAATCTTTGCGACTATTGGGCTGGTTAGGAAGACTTAACTGACAGTGTTGCTAATCTCCAAGGCAAGGTGATTTAAACTTTATTTTACTTTTTTTAAAATAGCTTCAGATTCATTTAGTTTATACCCTCATATTTTTGTTTTCATCCTTCCCCGATCCCATATGCTATGCTTCTGACTATATTGTTAAGATGGTTGCATATTTGTGTTATTATTTGACTTGATTTGTATGTGTTACATGTGTGTCAGGCTGTTGTTTTTAAGGACTCATATTAAGCTACCTTTGTGGACTACATGTATTTCAATCCATCACTTGTCTGTCCATCTGTCTGTATTATGTCCATCTTTGTCGACTGTAAACAATATCAGCCTGCCACATTAGCTACTGAGTATGCACTTCTTCGCTGAATTTATATAATTAAATAGTATATTTTGAACATTAGTACATGTATGTACTTTGATTTTGGCACAGAGAATCTAACTATAACATTTGATATATACCAAATATTCCATTCTATTGAAGTGAATACTTCGGGCTGAGGGAAAGATGAACATTTATTCCATAATAACATGTTTTCCCTGGGAAAATAACAGGGAATAAAAGTGTTATTTGAAAAATCCCGTATCAGATCCCGTATCAGCCAAAATCCCGTATCAGATCCCGTATTGGATCCCGTATCAGCAAAAATCCCGTATCAGATCCCGTATCAGAAATATTCCCGGTAATTTCTCTTGAGTTTTACGCTTTTCGTCTAGCACATCTCTACAGGAAGTAAAAAAATCGTTTGGAAAATTGAAATTATTGAAATTATTATCATCTAGTTTACGTCTATTACTGTGACAAAGGTCTATTACTGTGACAAATATGTCTAGGTATGCAACAGAGGATGTTGATGACTTCATTAAAGGTCAAGAAAATATCAATACTTCGAAGAAAACTAAAAGTGACATAAAAATCCTAAGCTTTTCTCCATCTAAAATGTCACTCGACTTTTTGGCAATTAAAAGTCCCAGCCTGCATTTAGTAGTCATATATTGTCATGTGCATAATTTTGAAATCATATTCTAATTATTTCACAAACCCTTTGTTTATTCTGCCATAGTTTCCAATTTGTAAACAGCATTTAGCCTTTTTAATTGGGAACTTTTTTGAAATTTCCAAAATGGCTGCCATGTGATTCCAGAATTAACATGAGTGTGACGTGACATCACAGTTGCTCGTTCCTAGGTAACAACAAGATCACAATTGCTTGTTTCTAGAAAGCAACAAGATTTTTGATAAAATGGCACAGAATTACCCTGATTAACACCCTTAAAATACGATTTTCAAAGAATATATTTGGAGAAACAATAAAAGGTAAGTGGAATAAATTAGAAAATGGTTTCAAGTTACCACAGAAGTCAATTTGAAACTCAAGAATGCTTTCTTTGACTCATAATCACAAAAAAGTCGAGTGACATTTTAGATGGAGAAAAGCTTAGTAGATTTTTTGTAAAGAGCAGAAAGTACAGGAGAATTATATATAGTAGTAGTGACAGTTCTCAAGACTAATGACTGATATGTACAGTATGGAATAAGATGTAGACATTCTTGAGAAGTACATACATGTAGGCCCATTCTACATCCACATGTTTCATTAAGACGTTTCACGATATTGTGTTTATTTTGCCATATTATGAGCCATTTTATTGTTATAAATTATTTATATTTTTAAGTAAAACTTGATAATAAAAGTTGAAAATGTTATATGATAAATTGTATAATTTTATGTCACAATCATTGGATGATGACATACAAAAATTGAAAAAAAAATATTATGAAATAAATAGGTTATTGATGGTCGTGATGGAATATGGATTTATTCCTTGAGAAAATATGATATTGGCCTCAGAAAATATCATATTGACACTCGGGCTATCGCCCTCGGTCAATATGATATTTTCCTTGGCCAATATCATATTTTCCCTCGGAATAAAATCCATATTCCATCCCTCCCATTAAATAACCTCTATGTATTCACCGAAAATAGAATGGAATATTTGATTTATTATATCATTTGAATCTTCTACAAATTAGGCGTCTTCAAACCATTTATACTTTATTAGATACGATACATGTGTCACATATGAAATATATTGCCATCTCAAAAGTCACACGTGCGCAATGACTTGTGACATCACTGGTTTATAAACATCAACAAAATGGCAAGGGATACACCGTTACTATGACTACCCATGCTCATACTAAAAATATAAGATTTGACGTCAAATGAAGCTTGGTTGTCATGTGTATCCAAGTATTTTCTATAATATTGTTGTGACGTCATAACAAAAACATAGCATCCGGGACTTTCAAACGTGGTATATACTCTGTGGTATATACACCGTGGTATATACAGTTGAAAACGAGGCTGCAGCTGGACAATGCAGGAAACAATGAAATACACCCTATTATTTTTAATCATGTGATCGATTCTTATCCAATGAAAAAGCGAGAAACATTTCAATGATATAATAAATATTGCTATCAAATTAATTTTACTGATTCAAAGGTTTTCTCACACATTTCTTTATAAATGTTTATTATAGTTTCACATGTTGTGTCCCTTATAAGCAACCATATGCTGAAGACTTTATTCAGTAGAAATAAAATGTGATTATTTTAGACAGAAGATGAGAATATTTCAATTTTGTCATCTTGTTAATTGTGAATGCTCATTTGCTTCTTGTGCTGTTTTCATGGAAAAAACAAGTTACCACTGTATATAGAATGAATGAGTTTCTGCTTGAAGATGTTGGGATCTCTTTTATCTCTGTATGTGATCCTTAAAAGTATGCGATCCTTTAATGTATTTGATCCTTTAATGTATGTGATCCTTTAATGTATGTGATCCTTTAACGTATTTGATCCTTTAATGTATGTGATCCTTTAACGTATTTGATCCTTTAATGTATGTGATCCTTTAACGTATTTGATCCTTTAATGTATGTGATCCTTTAATGCATGTGATCCTTTAATGTATGTGATCCTTTAATGTATGTGATCCTTTAATGCTAATTCCCTTTTTTCATTTTTCATTCTGCACTAGATATGTAAACATATCAGTAATATAAACATGATCAACATTGTGATATTCTTTCAATGATAAATCAATACTACGATGTCAATGATTTCAAGTTAACATGTCTTGTATACATATATCAGTACTTACATATACTACATATATGTCATTTAATGTTATAGTAAAATAGTATGACATTTTTGTAAGTACATGTACATATGAACTGCATAAACAGGTCATAGAGTGCCATCTAAAGTGGTAGAGATTGATTTGGGTACTTGTCTGCTAGACTGTTCTTGACAATGAATATTTTAGGTGCAGTTATACTTTGTAAATCAATAACTATGAATCACCTTTGTTCTAATTCACTTAATGACGAGGTACAGTCAGTAGGCAGTTAGATATTAAACAGTGTAGTTTCGTTTTTCTTTTAATCATCACATGCTGAACCTTTAGGCTAAGCACTGCACTTCCTTGTGAATAACACACTTATATGCTTGATCTCATATTGATTTATACTGAGACAAACTAACATTGAATGTTTGAGTACAAATCTGCACACTATAACATCATAACTCATAACTTGGATTATTTTGAAGGTGGAAATGGCCGAGAATGGAGTTAAGAATGGGAAAGGATCTGATGACATAGATGAAAGTCTATACTCCAGACAGTTGTAAGTAAAATCTCTTTCTCTTGTATTTATCAATCTTGGATCAACACCCTGTACATACATCACCCATTATTTTGTCCCTTAGAGTCTATCACAAATAGAGATGGAATGGTGGAAACTGGAAAGGTACATGGTCTTGGTATAAGATAAAATTTCTATTTTACAATTCAAGGTGGCTTGATTAGCGTCATTAATCATTATGTTATTTCTTCATTTTATTATGTCACCACCAAAAAATGGTGACATATCGTTATGGTCTCTGTTTTTTTGATGGCGACTGGTGGTTGATGTCTGTAACAAATTCTTACAACTTACAATAACTTAACAAATACTGTTTAGACTGACTTTAATTTTATTCAAAATCATCTACAAATTCAAATCTGACTTTATAATATAAGATTTGACCTTCAATGACCTTTTCAAGGTAAAAAGGGTCTTTTTTCAACTTGCTTCAAATTGACCAATTTTTTTTCAAAATCATCTACAAGTTCTCAGAAGTTCAAATCTGAATTAAGATTGAACTCATAATATTGTGAGCAACTAGGTGGTGACATTTTGTCATGTTAATGCCTTGTTTTAATTAGCTATAGTTATACATTTACACTGTACCACAGTGTAATCTTAAAATTCAAGCTTGGCTCTACTAATAGAAATAATAGAAAACCTTCATTTTAAGATACTGTTTAAATGTAATGTTTCATGTTTGAATTCATCAACTTACCTTCATATATTATATTTGAATTTTTTCATATCGATAGAAATATAGATCAAAATTACCCAGCCAAATTGTAGGAAGAATGAAAGGCAAAGAAAAAGTGTCATCTGTATGTATATGAAACCAAAATAATGAGCTTATTTATTTCATGAACCTAAACATAGGTGGATAGAATAATAACAATGTAACATTCTATCTTGACCAATACAAGATAGAATTTCAGGGCACAGAATAACTTGTTATGAATGTTATTATTGATAATTATATGTTAGATTAGATTGCTATAAGTATCTATTATCTACCCTAAAGCAAAGTACAGTAAGGTGTAATACAAATTATTTTTACAGGTAATAGCAATTCGCAAATAGGTTACAAAACTGCTGGAATATAATTACAAATACTTCATGATTAAGAAACTTGATATTGAGCACATACAAAATAATTTATGAGGTTTTGTACCCTGCATGCAGAGTCTAGTTATAAATGAAACTCTGTTTTAAGAAGTGATGTTGGAACAACTACAAAGGGTAGTGGTTTTGGCACACTGACATTTTAAGCCTGGAGTGTCATAAATGAGCTAAAATCACCTCATCTCTCTCCCTAGTGTCAATGATGATTTTAACCCCTCTTTTCTTAATAATTCTAGGTATGTACTGGGCCATGATGCTATGCGTCGGATGCAGAATTCCAAAGTTCTTATATCTGGTCTGGGAGGTCTCGGCGTAGAGATTGCAAAGAATGTAGTCCTCGGTGGTGTGAAGGCATTGACGTTACATGACACGGAAAATACTTCCTGGGCAGATCTATCCTCACAGGTCAGTTAGTGAAAACTGAATTGTGCCTTTTTTAAAAGTTTGATAAAATTTGAGTGATCATCGATTCTGATCAAAACATCAAATTGTTACAATGCATTTCACTGAATCTAGAAATAGCCATTCACTTTGTTATGAAATATAGAATGCATATTATTTAGAAAACTGTGTTCTGATTGTCTGGAAATAACATTGATATTCTATTTCAACTATATATTGCAATTCAATCTACTCAATCTGTGTGTCAGTTTGTATGTGAATTTTAAAAATCTTTGAAATATGAGCTGTTTTTAAGCTGACATCCCATTCTCTAGAATCAGAAGTTGCTATCATATTGACCAAGCTTGGGGACATAACATTTCTCAGAAAATTATATTCTCTGCCTGTATAATTGCTAGTCTTCCACCAGATGTACATTCAAATAAATCGGGTGGTAAGTCATGTAAGTAGCAATTGTTTCTAAATTCCTATATTCCAGTTCTTCCTCAGAGAAGCAGACATTGGAAAGAACCGAGCTGAAGTGACCCATCCACGACTTTCTGAGCTAAACTCTTACGTACCTGTGAATGCCTATACTGGGGCCCTTACTGACAAATATGTCAGCCAATTCCAGGTATGACTTCCTTCTATTCCAATTAAACCATTCTCAAATCTGGATAAAGTTCAACATTGGATATAGTCACGGCACCAAATTGCATATCTCATTGTGGAAACATTGAGTTATTAAATAGCCTTTGAAAATTAAAAAAAAACATTATAGCTAACCAGTGTTCAAATAACACCAAGAATTCAGGGAAGACAAAACATGTGAAACTGCTGCTATTCCTCCAGTCAGGGGATAATGTCTAGAATATATCATGGAACTTCTTTGTTTAAGTCTGTAAGAACCCTGGTCAACCCTGAGATTTGTTCTGTATGTTCTAGGTTGTTGTACTGACCAATAGCAGTTTAGATGACCAAATAAGGATAGGGGAGGTTTGCCATAGCAATGATGTTGCATTCATTGTAGCAGACACTAGAGGCCTGTTTGGGTGAGACACATTCTAAAATACTCTGTATGGTGTTTTAAATTAGAATATATCCTTATAATGCACAGAAATAATATGTATGTCGCAGATGAGCTGTGTAAATCAAATCACACTTTGTTAGAATTTCACATTTATAGGATCATGAGCACAACAATGAACAGAAATGAGAACTTCTTAGGAAGATAACATAATTTCATCTCAAAGTATCAAACTTGAAATCTTTTATCAATGTGACATTAATATTAATAAAAATTTATAGATGAAATTGGAAATGGTTCTTCATACAGAATGAGCAATTTTTATTTTATTTTATTAAACATTGAATTTTAAGTTTTAAAACCCTGCATGACTTATTCATATGTCATTTTGTTCATTTGGCTTTCAGACAAATCTTCTGTGACTTTGGTAAAGCATTCAATGTGATTGACACAAATGGAGAGCAGCCAATCTCAAACATGATTTCAGCCATTGCTAAGGTAATAAAGCTAGTTAGCTAAGTAAAAGCTGATTCCTTGTATCGCTCTTCAGCATTTAATTAGTACATGTGTAAATACATTGATCCCCAGTATTTAAGCAAGTGGTCGCAGCACCCACCTGAGATCTTGAAAACAGGCTTGCACTCACCTGAAAATCCATTTGCGCCCACTTAAAAATGAAAGAAATCATGAAAAATGGACATTTTTTGACCAATTTTGGTCTGAATTGTGAAAATGAGAATTTTGCATCCACTTCAGTAAAAATCCTGTGGAGAACACTGAGATATCTTATTTTTGAAAGGCTCATATTGACTTATTGATTATTTAGACATTGACATTCTTAATCATTGCTTTTTCAAGGATGAGAATGCTGTCGTCACATGCATGGATGAAACACGTCACGGATATGAATCTGGAGATTATGTAACATTTTCTGAGATCCAGGGGATGACCGAACTAAATGGCTGTGAGCCTAGAAAGATTGAAGTCCTGGGTAAGATATATTTATTGAAAAAGAAAGTAAAATTCCAATCCAACTTATTTATTGTTGAGTTAAAGTTAACCTGTTGACACATTCTTATATTACAGGTCCATATAGAATTAGTATGGGTGACACACTTGTATCCAGGTCTAGAAAGACTAATTTACATTCTGTTTTTGTGGCACATCTTTAACTTGAGAACCATACACATTAAGTAATTATGGTACATCTGTAATTTCAGGTCCATATACATTTAGTATTGGTGACACATCTGGGTTCAGTGACTATGTGAGAGGTGGTACAGTTATTCAAGTGAAAATGCCAAAGACAATTTCATTTGTAAGTATCTCCTAAAATTGCTTCTGATTCTTTAGAGATGCACGCAATCATTCTTAATAACTTCAAAATGATGCAAACATATCTGTGTGCAAACATACAAATTATCAAATGTGTAGATCACCTCATTATCATTAAATGTCACAAATCTGTTAACTTATATGTAGCACACTTCTGTCTCTTGTTTGTAGAAATCCATCAAAGAATCCTTAGCTGCCCCAGAGTTTGTGATGACAGACTTTGCCAAGTGGGAGCAACCTGGTCAGCTGCATGTAGGCTTCCAGGCCCTGCATGAGTACCAAAAGAAAAATGGATCCCTGCCTAAACCCAGGTGTAAGGTAAGTGTTTTTCAATGGTTGTTAGCCACACTGTGACTATTAATGTTGGAAATGATTTTATGAATTTTTGTTGCTGAGATATTATTGACCTCGTAAATGTGAAACGTATCAAATCTTATGCCAAGGGCTGGGGTGAAAAGGAATCTCCACCTCTGTGGGAATCAAACCCACAACCTCCGGATTACATCAAGTATAGCTTCTCTGACTTTTTATGTGAGTTTGTTTGCGGAAAAATGCCAGCAACTTGACCTTATAGGCAGAAAATATATCTTGATTTTTTGATTGAACATCCTGATAGTTAAGATCAAATTGTCTGTAATTTAAAGACTCAGTACTGAATTGGCAGCACTTCCAATATTATAGTCCTACAAGGGATAAAATGTCCAACCTTTTTTATCGTCGACAAACTTAAAATTCAAGCAGGCTAATCAGTATTGTTTTGTATTCGTTTGTACATATTTTGAATATTTCCTGTGGTAAAAATGGTTTCTTGCATAGATGTGTTTAATTTTACAGGGTGACGCAGATGCATTTGTTGCACTGGCGAAGGAAGTGAATAGCAGCTCTGCAGCAAAGTTGGATGAGCTAGATGAAAAATACATGCGGGAACTGTCTTACTCTGCAATGGGCAATATATGTGCTATGCAGGCTGTCATTGGTGGAATCTCGGCACAAGAAGTTATGAAGGTACATTGTGATCAGCTCTTTACAAAACATATTACAATTATGGCTATGTACCTACAACTGCATTTAGTTGATAGAAATCATTTTTATTAGTTTGTCCAATTTTCCAATTGTGCAGTTCATGCTTTTTGTTGTTATACAGGCTTGCAGTGGTAAATTCAACCCAATTCAACAGTGGCTCTACTTCGATGCCTTGGAATGTTTACCAGAAAATGCAGATGAAGTTTTAACGGAAGAGTCTTGCAAACCTGTAAGTTAGATTATAATTGTATTTTTATATATTATGGCTTAGAGTTCACTATTTTGGAGTCACAGAGATTTGATACATATGACAAGTTATGTTAAGACTCACATAAGAAATGCACATAATAATTACAAGTGTTATTATATATTGTTAGTGACCAGATGCCAGTCTCTACACCCATTTGTGTCATCTTGTTTCTTCGTCTTCTGTTAAATAAAAGCTGAATGTCTCTTCCAGAGGAATAGTCGCTACGACTCTCAAATTGCAGTATTTGGAGAAGAATTCCAGAAAACTCTTGGAAATCTCAAATATTTCCTGGTAGGTAATTATTACTAATAGACAATAATGATGTGTATTTATTGACTATAAAAATTGATAAATATATTTTGTTGCTGCTAAGATCTAATGATCATCTCATATGAAGCCTTTTATGAACGTAAACTGAATAATGTCATCTACATATTCTGATTAGGTAGAATCTTGATTTAAGAATGAATATTTATTTAGAGAAGATTAGGGTCACATTGGTGTGTTTTATAGGTTGGGGCTGGAGCTATTGGCTGTGAGATGCTGAAGAACTGGGCTATGATTGGTCTAGGCTGTGGTGATGGCAATGTCTGGGTCACTGATATGGACATCATAGAGAAATCTAACCTCAACAGACAGTTCCTCTTCCGGTCCTGGGATGTACAGGTAAATATATTGTTCCTGTTTTATATACATAGGCGTAGAGTTATAAGGAAAATGCTATTTACATTATTTCTTACCTATTTAAACTTCATAAAAAAGGTCTGTGAAAATAAATTTTGAATTTAACATATCAATATCATGTCTGTTTGACAGAAATGTTTGATTTATTTGACACAGTTAGATATATACCCCTTCGCAGTCCATTCCTGGATGTAAGAGTACATGGACATTTTACCTTGATTTGAGGTAATCGTAATTTCATGTGCTATCTTTTCTGTCTCAACCCAGGGCTATAGAGGTTTACAAGATAAATTGAGACATGTTGAAATGTTTTTCTGATTTCAGAAACATAAGTCTGCAACTGCCGCTAATGCTGCTAAAGCCATGAATCCTAGCTTCAACATTACGCACCAGGAAAACAGAGTCGGGCCTGACACAGAGAATATTTACAATGATGACTTCTTTGAATCTTTATCAGGAGTTGCTAATGCTTTGGACAATGTGGATGCAAGTGAGTTAGGGAACTGCATGGACATGGCAGAGGTTTCATATCAGTTTCTGACAACAGGCAAAACAATTGAAAACAATAAGCAAAATTATTTGAAATTCTAACATATATAATAATTTTTGCAAAATCCCTCAAAACTCCCAAGTGATTTTGGTAAAAAAATGGAAAAAATCTATAGTTGCCTTCTGTGACTGAAACCTCCGTAGGCCTGTATTGTGAAGTGTATCATCACCATGTTTCTTACAAGCCTATGTAGTCCTTACATGTAGAGTTCAAAATTAACTTGCTGATATTACCCTTTTATTTTGTCATCAGTTCTCAGAAGTGGTGACATATTATTAAAGTCACTAACTTTTTTCTGGACAGTGTTTGTCTGTTGCTATTGGTGTTCTGCGGGCGGTGTCTAACAAATGGCAGGTGGTGACATTTTGCATGTTAATGCCTTGTTACCTATTTGTGACTAACAACTGTAAAATTGGTCAAAATCCAAATTCATGATTTCTCGGTGATGCTCTGGTAGAGTTCTAACTTGTTGTCTAATTATTTTCAAACTTACCAGATGCATATATCTATAAGTAATAGCCATGTCACTATTTCAGGGATGTACATGGACAGAAGATGTGTGTACTACCGTAAACCTCTGCTGGAGTCAGGTACACTTGGCACAAAAGGCAACATCCAGGTTGTCATTCCTCATCTCACAGAGTCTTACAGTTCCTCTCAGGATCCCCCTGAGAAATCAATTCCAATATGTACCCTCAAGAATTTCCCAAATGCAATAGAACACACACTACAGGTAGGTATAGTACTGAATGGTTCTAATCACAATGATTCAGCCATATTATGCATGTCACAAACTGTACTATCAGTGTACCATTAATAAATTGTCATCTACACCATAATTATGCAGATATTTGTATTGATACTATTGAAAGACAAAATTAAGTCAATTTGAGAACAAATTTATAAGATTTTATCATGGAAAAGCATGGAAAAAATATTTTTTTCTTGGAAATAGTCACATGCCTTATAACATTGACCCAAGTCACCCAACAGTAGATCAAACAGTGGGGAAAATTGGATATTTTATGCATGTTTTAAATGTAAGTAAAGATTATTATGATGGCATTTACAATTGTAGTGGGCTAGGGACCAGTTTGAAGGTGTGTTTACGCAGCCCATGGAGGCAGCCTTGCAGTATATCAGTGACCCAAAGTTCATGGAACGTACACTAAAACAACCAGGGACTCAACCTGTAAGTTGCAATATACATATTAAATAATGTTTCTATTTTTGACATATTTCAATGTATTCAAATAATGGTGTGGAAATGATACACACAGTTTTGCTTGCGAAAATATTTGGTGCCATGAGATTTGTATGGTTATCCGATCTGAACATATCACTGTTGTGATTGACACTACAAAGCATCAGTTTACTATGCCAAAATGTACACTTCCACTTAAACCTTCATTTCTTTGCTTCTTTTCCAGTTGGAGACATTAGATGCCTTGAAAAAAGCACTTGTAGATCACAGACCCAATGACTTTGAAGGCTGTGTTAAAGCAGCCAGGGTGTCTTTCCAAGAAAACTTCAGCAATCAGATAAGACAGTTGCTCTTCAACTTTCCCCCAGATCAGGTACCAAATGAATATAAAATCAAAAATTGAAATGCCTGATATATGTTTTCAATCCTTTTTAACTCAATTTCTCAGAGAATGCTATAGAGAGTTCCTTAACTTAACTAAATTTTTTTGATGCAATATAATTTTAGAATCTTTGGATCATATCCTTCATGCCTATTTTCAAAAAACATGTTCTTTACTCAGGGAAGGACATAGATCAATTGATATGTTTCTGTCAATCTGTTTGAAACACTGTCTGGTGTTTTGTATTTTTTTTAATTCATTCTGTTCTGCATTTCAGACTACCAGTTCAGGCGCCCCCTTTTGGTCAGGTCCAAAGCGATGTCCACACAATATTGAATTTGATGTCAGTAATGTAAGTTATGAATATTTTAAACAATTCATGACAATTAAAAAAAATTATTTCATAATTATAAGATTTATAATGCAATTTTTTCTAAACAGTAATGGGTAGTAACCTTTTTGGATGAATTACCTTCCAGGCTCTTCATTTAGATTACGTTGTATCATATGCCAACTTGAGAGCAGAGATGTATGGCATACCTCAGGTACGCGACAGGTCTGCTATTGCTGACATCGTGTCCAAGATTGTTCTCCCAGTGTTCACTCCAAAGTCGGGAGTAAAGATTGATGTCACGGATGCTGAGGCAGATGCCAGGCGTAATGATGGCTCATTGGGTAAGTTCTTGTTCTCCTCGTCCTTTGGACAATGGCCAGGTACAGTTGCATCAAGTCAAGACTGGAAGTGATCAAGGTTATTTGTGGTCTGAGCTGAATACACTTGTACATATTAAGAAAATCCTATCGAAAGTGTTTTTCCATGGTCACTTTAATTTTACAATATTTAACACCTCTATCCCCACAATCTGATTCACAAACTGAAAGTAATCAAAGATATATTTATTTCTATTACTCAAAGCACACATTAATATCTTTCAGATGAATCTTCCCTTGAAACTGTAAAGAAATCACTACCTGATAAAATGTCACTCAAAGGAACCAGGTTTGTGCCAATAGAATTTGAGAAAGATGATGACACCAACTTCCACATGGATTTCATCGTAGCTTGTTCCAATTTGCGAGCAGAGAACTATGGGATTGCTCCTGCTGATAGACATCAGGTAAGGGCTCGAAGTCTCATATTACACAGGCCTCCTAGACTTCCAACAACGCGAACATCAGTTCTGATACCGTGAACTACGTTCCTTGCACTCGAACCACGAATCTTATATCGCGAACATGAAATCTTATGTCGCGCACCACCATTTCCTTGTTTCCGAACATATTTCTTGTACCTCGCACAGCGATCCGTTACCGCGAACAATTTGTACATAATACATCCGGGTGTTTGGGATTCCAAGTTACATGTATATACCATGCAACGGAGTGAAACAAGGAAACGAAATTCAGTTTCTCCTCCGCTTTCGCCGGACTTTCGTTCCTATGAAAAGCATGCACTTGCATGTTAGATGACCAATTCGTCACTGTATTTTGAAACGTAATCTTAAGATTTACATCCATGCCCCGAGTTGGCAGGGCTTTAAATGATGTGTCAAAGGAAAGCACTGCGTCCCACAGTCATTCATGTTTGGGATCAGAGAGTATCTGCGCACGGTGTGGTGAAATAGGAGATGTCATTTGTAAAAGCGACATTTTAGCGCTCCACATGTCTTGGGTCAGATATCGTCCTGGTTGCTGAAGTCAGGAATGTTTTGGGAACATGGGGCAAAACGGCCCTCATAATAGTTTGATCCGTGCAGAGGTTTTTCTAATCTGTCAATCATCGCCAACTTTCATGTTCCATCTTATGAAGGGATTATATTTCACATTTTCTGTGATTTTTCAGAGTGTTCGAAAATAATGTTGAGAGTAGGGCAAAATGGCCCATGGGTGGGGCAGAACAGCCCACAATGAAAGCTTCGGTTTTAAAACCAAGATTAATTAACTACAGGACTCGTCAACACACATTTATTTCAGACGGTCAAAGATTAGACAGATAAAGTATTCTTAGCCCTTACCCTAAAATTACGATTTAGTAGTCATTTGATATATGTTTTGAAACAAAAACCAAGTGTTAAAATCTTTATCAGGATGATAGATTGTTATTTTCCTGTATGTAAACAGTTAATCCCACAAGCCGTAATGGGGGAGGGGGCAACATTTAAGTTAAGTTTTCATCTAAAACGTTGACAGGCAAAGGGTAGCATCTTCAAATTATCAGTAGCTGGAGCGACAGATATAGCACATCAAGTATTCTATAAAATCAGGAATATTGTACATAGGGTAACTCATTTCTTTATTATGATGCAATCATCGGCTCAAATGGACAAATTTGGAAAAAGCTGGTAAAGAGAAAGAAGATATTCTGGATTTTGAAGCCCTGTGATCGGAGGATGTCACTAATTTGGCCATACGTGTTGTTACTATAAGTCAGGTTTTTGTTGTTATTACCCAGCCCTTTCACTGAAAATGTCAATGCGCGTGATTGCAAGGTAGTCCCAATATATTGTGTTTCCTAGAGCTTGAAAATACTGTTATCGTCAATGATTGGATATTCATTCACATGCATGAAAAACTGGGAAAATATTTCTTCCGCATTCCACATGAAAACACCTCTTTGGAATTACACTTATGCGTAATAATACGAACAAAATTACGGACTTTTTTTCGATCAGATGCGTGGTTCGCGGTAACGGATCTTTGTGCGCGGTACAAGAAATATGTTGGGAAACAAGGAAATGGTGGTGCGCGACATAAGATTTCACGTTCGCGATATGAGATTCGTGGTTCGAGTGCAAGGAACGTAGTTCGCGGTATCAGAACTGATGTTCGCGTTGTTGGAAGTCTAGGAGGCCTGTTACAGGGAGTTAAAGATAATGGGAGAAGTACTTATTTTTGCAAACTTAGCATCAAATTCTCATTCAACTTGGACAGAATATAAATTTAAGAATCAATTGCTTGCTAAAAATTAATATTTTCAGGCCCCATTTTAAAAAGCAAGAAACCAAGGCAAATTGTTTGCATTTGTATTTCAAGTATTGTTTCTGTTTTGTTATAGAGTAAGCTGATTGCGGGAAAGATTATTCCAGCAATTGCCACAACAACAGCTATGGTTGTTGGTTTTGTCACACTTGAGTTATTTAAGGTATGTGTTTATATGACTCAAATTGTTCTAGTTTTTTTGCACTTTGCAATCATGAGTATGCTTTTGTGAATAGATATAATATAGAATGGAGAAAGTTGATCACAGCTGGTATATTTTTTCATGGGAAACATTAATTTAATATTCAGTAGAATTGCATTTGTTTCAACAAAGTTAATAAACTCATCTTTATTTTTTAGCTTGTCCAGCAACATAAGAAACTTGAAAAGTATAAAAATGGGTTTGTCAATCTGGCTCTTCCCTTCTTTGGCTTCTCAGAACCTATAGAGGCACCAAAAAATAAGGTTTGTAATATATTATTAATACATTTTAACTGACCACTCAGCAGGATGCACTTATAGACCAACATTCTTAACTAGTTGTCATACCAACAAACAAGGTTTCGAAACCAACTTAAGGAAATATGCCACAAAAAATGAAAGGAGGAAGAAAACAAATCAAAAAAGCATTTCTCCACAACCAAAATATGGTTGGAAAAATATGAGAACACACTTTATAGCAGCCAATGCGATAATACAACTTTTCGTCATTTGTTAAAGGCAATACTCTAAAGAGATGGAAAACATCAACTTCAAAAACAACAAGATTCGGGACCAAACTCATATGTAACGCTATGCCCATGTTAGCAATTTGCAGTAGTGTTCACTCTATACAGGTTTCTGTACATTACAATGAACAAGTTGATTTATGTAAAATAATTCATGTTTTGTTTCAGTATTACGATACAGAATTCTCCCTATGGGATCGCTTTGAGATTGAAGGTGATATAACCCTACAGGAGTTCATAGACTACTTTCAGGTGAGCCAATTCAAACACTCTTTGGTGTTTGATTTTGAGTTTGATTTTTCCATTGTACCCTTGGATGATCTGGATTTTGCCAGGATATCAAGCACAGTATCTACTTCTTATTAAGGCTCCAATGGTTCAGTTTTGTTCACTGTTTTTTATCTTTTGGTTTTAATTACTCTTACTGGTCTGGTCATATATAAGTACTACATTGACAGTTTACTTATAGTTTTTATTTCGTAATATGTACAACTCTAGGTATCCAAAATAGCCCAAACATTTTATGACTTTTTAGCATCAGTATGTTCAACTTGTTGCTGATTTTTTTGTGTCCTATTATATGAACATATTGAAAATATTGAATCCGTAAAATCATTGTAGGAAAAGCAGAAACTGGAGATCACCATGCTGTCACAGGGTGTCTGTATGCTTTATTCCTTCTTCATGGCCCCTGCCAAAAGAAAAGAACGCCTGGGAATGACGTAAGTGAAATACACAAGTATGCTGATTGATTTTTCAGCATCTATAGGGAAATAACTAATACTACCTGTACTGTTATTTCAATTTTGACCTGTCCAATGAATTTAAGTAGCAACCACTATACCAGAGAGTATATGTAAAATCCTGACAAGAACATAAGTACATGTAGGTAATTTTTAGTTCAAAAATCTTGGAGTTAATGTGAATCATCATGCCACAATGTTTTCAAAACCCTACTGCCTTTGCAAATTCTCACATTACACCAAGGATTTGTCATTCTTCTCTTATATTTTTTTACCATGGGATCAGAAATGACAGGGGTTCCATTTTCAGGGGTTGTGTATGTAAATATGCAATCATAAAGGAGTGATGAAATACAATTATTAATTGGATTCACTATTCATTTTCAAAAATGTGTAGAAAAATGTCAATGCAGGGGAATTCATGTTTTCTTCCAGCATGACTGAAGTTGTAACAAAAGTCTCTAAGAAGAAGATTCCACCTCATGTGAAGGCCCTTGTGTTTGAACTATGTTGTAATGACACAGATGGTGAAGATGTTGAGGTCCCCTATGTCAACTACAAATTCGCAAGTTAGATGGCGCTGTTTTCATGAAGCGGCCATGTTGGATTTGAATAGAAACTGACTATTTATAGAGGCATTTGTAAAATGCTGAAAACTTCTTCAGTTATTTATGGGATGTACCTGGCTAAATAACAGACATCCAATTCCAGAGTGACTCATATCAACTCCTCTGCTGATATGGAGAATTCTCTTGTTTGGAAAAGTATAGTGGACTACCCAATCATGATGATTATCTTGCTGTCAGACAAATATGCTGTTAAAAACTGTGGATTTTATGCCAATAGAATATATGTGTTCTTAATTGTTATTAGGATCCTATAGTGCAACTGTCCTATGATACATGTATTTCCTTTTTGATCTGTTGTTAGAATTATTTTCAAAACTGGTATTTAATAAAAATGGAATGACGTGTTATTTATTATGTAATGATATGAGCTGGAATTGTAACAGTTGGCCACCAATGATGTTATTCTGATGTAACCATGGGGTGTTGACATTTTCTAAATACAATATGGCCTTGTAAGGCCTTATGACGTACAATTCATATATTCATGTCAGTTACTTTGTTGTATGTTCTTTCTTTCTTTGCAATGTTGAACTGTTACCATGTATGTTTACTTCCTATTGGTTTTAATATTGAATTGGCTACCTGATGTATATTTTAATTATTGTTTGTAATCCATAAGTTACAGTTTATGTTACCTCTACAAGTTGATTGTCTGTTAGGCTGGAATTTTATGAAAAGGAAAAATGCAAAACTGGCTTAACAAACATTTAATTTGTTTAGACTTTATTGTTGGCACAGTTTCTATGTCACATTGTTTTTGTATTCTTTTCTTTAAAGTCTGATTGTATAACAACTTGGAGGTTAACATCCTGCAGTCTGCGACAACTATTTATAGACTGTTTATATATTGCCAAATTGGCTCTTGAAGCCAAGTGAGTAGGTTTGAAAAATGAAATATAAAAGTACTAGAAATATCAGTGATCGTTAGTTATTGTTATTTTGTTAGTTTACTCTAGCATCAATTAAGAAAAAAAAAATTTGCGCAAATTTAACAATATGTTTGCTCCCAGCATTCCATTCATTCATACTTTTCTAAAATGTCAAGACCTTGACTTCATTTATGATTTGCTTTGTTTTCTTAACTTAATTGGCAATAATTCTGACATTTGGCATCCCCTTTCTACATCTCAATGTCAATGACTTTTCATCAGATGGCTCAATCTTTTTCATATATTTTAAGATTGAAAGGAATGGATTTGAATCATTTTGTAAAGATTGCTAGGTTACTTCCAACATTTCAAACTCTATCCTTTACTATCACTTCCACATTTGTTACCAGGTTTTATATTAATTTGAGGATCATTTTGGAAAAGGGGGTTTTGGATATCATTATTATCCACAAAGGGATATCAACATCTCCATTTGTGAGATGCTTGACATGCTTGGTATTCACAATTTTTTTTAAATTAAAATAACAAAATCAAAATTCAGTCAAAGTAATATCATATTTGAAATCTAGAACTGATAAATATTCAACTCTCTAATATAATTATCTGCCATGTTATCTGGTCCAAATTGGCCACTTTGTGGTAAATTGGTAACTACCGGCTTGCATCTTTCATGTACATGTCATTGTACATACTATCATTTGCATTGTGATGATTTGCATTTTCTCAATTGATTTGTGTCTTCAGGTTTCTCAATATATTTTGTTTATGAATCTCCCTTGTTATTTCCCCTATATGTACGGTTGTTATAACTAAAAATTCAACAATGTTTTTCTCTTAAACCAATTATTGAAAACATTCTGTAAAAAAACAAGGTCCTTTATGTATTGTTAGTACCTCAGTGTAAATACTCGCATCTGATTGGTCAATTAGCGGTCAACATTTTTGCCTGTACATCACTTGTGCATCATGGGATATCATATTATTGACCGCGTATGTTACTGTACTACACTTGTGAATTATGGGAAATATGACGTCACAATGTTTACAGAAAAAACATGGTAGTCGGACATTTTGAACACGTTGATGAAAGTGATATTTTGACTTTTCTACACGACGAGTATAGCAACAATACAAATAGAAACACAAAATTAACATTAATTTACTAGTGAGTGCGCAGTTATGTGCCGAAAACAGACAGTTTAGCTTCCACTGTCTTCAGATTTTCTTAAAAATTATTGCTGGCGTGCAGGTTCGGAGAAGAGATTGTGAAATGAAGCCATGATTGATGACTGTCGTATATATGAGTATTATAAGTTTCTTCTGACTAACAAAACAATTGTAGACCTCTCCATTCGGTCAACCGTCGAAATCATATACCTCGACTGTAAACCTTGAAACACTGTTGACCTCGACCTTCGGTCTCTTTCAACAGTAGTTTCTCGGTTTACAGTCTCGGTGTACAATTTTGCCGGTTGACCTCTGGAGAGGTCAACAATTGTATAATGTTGACTGATTGACAACAATTTAATGTGAAAATTATTTATTTATATTTTATATAGCTGTTTTCTTAACATTTTTTGTTTTTTAGTGCAATTGTTTTTTGTTCCATTTCTTGAGAATGAAATTAAATATCTTTCCAGAGCTTGTTTGAACAAAATTGCAAATTTTTTAATAAACAGTCAAGTGCTAATATGTGTAGAACTTTTATTTAGAGGAATATATATTCTGACTTTCTTCCAAAAATATTGATTTGCAGTCATCGGCTTTGAGGAAGATTATTATGAAATAAATAATTGAATTGAATTGAATTGAAAAATAGCATATACAACATTTTCTTAGACTTCCCAATGTTATAGTTGTACAAAGGAAATTTTGGTTGATTTAACGAAAAGTATTCAAAAAACAAAAACCTGCGAAATAGATAAAAACTAAGATAAACCTTTAATTTCATTAACGAGATACTTTTTTAAATCAACCAAACTTTCCTTTGTATAATTACAATATTGAGAGACATAAACATGTTGTGTTTATGACATTTTGTTCCAATGAGGTTCAGATAAATGTTTCATTTCATTCCAAACATTTGATACCAAGAACAAACAAAGTGTCCAATGTGTTTTCTAAAACAATATAGAGAAAAGTATATTATATTTCAAATTATAAATGTTACCATTCAAAAGATGACCATTAAATTGACAATGTGTAAAATTTTCAGATTTTTTTATGACTGGTTTAAGAGAAACGTGTGTTCAAAAAGTTTGTCATATCGATACCCATCCTTTGATGTTTTTCTGCCTATATTCAAAAGTGGATAAAAATGATAGCTCAATAAAGTCATAGGATATCATATTTATCCTGTGCATTTCAAAATATTACTTGCGTTCTTAAAAAAATTGGTCAAGTTAAGTTTTTTGAGATCTAATATCTCAAAACTGGTGGAACAATTTTAATAAATAGTCAAGTGCTAATATGTGTAGAACTTTTAGAGGAATATATATTCTGACTTTCTTCCAAAAATATTGATTTGCAGTCATCGGCTTTGAGAACTTAGAAAACACAGTTTGTGATTTAGTTTGATGACCTTGATTTTGGTCAATTTGGAGCAAGTTGAAAAAAACTTTTTTGACCTCAAAATCTAGGCAAAATGTGTCCAGACGGCAAAAGGCTAATACTAATAGAATACTAAATATCTCTATGCAAAATTTCAGGTAAAAATAGGTAAAATGTAGTGTCAGGATTTGAGAAACTTCAAAAAAGCTTAGATTTGACTTATATTTTGTGACCTTAGATCTTGGCCTAGATAAAAATTCTGTTCCTCTTAAGTTCAGCCTGGGTCCCTAGTGGGAGTATATAGTAGCTAGATAAAGGCTAGTTCATCCTTCATTCAAAGGATTTCATTTATTACTCAATTCATTTACTATTACTCAATTATTTATTATTCAATTATGGAAAGAAGTGAAATACCCTTGGACCAAGGATGGGCTAGTTGGAAGTAGGAGAAAAGGTCCCACAAAGAATATATAATAAATAGTAATAATTTACTTCCTGCGAAAGCTATTTGGATTTTGATATAAAAAATCTAAAAAAATCTAACATGGCTCTCGAAGTGAGTAAGTAATAATAATATCTACAAAATTAATAGGAGACCCCGATGGGGCCTCGTTCAATTATTCTTCAATCTCAACCTGTGATCGGCAGGTTGTCCAAACAAGGCATCAACATACAATATTACACCACCTTCCATTTGTTATAAATGCCAAACACTGACTGCTGGACGCTGTCACAAAAAAGTGAGAGACCATTAAATGTGGTGGCGACAAAAAGTTTAGACTACAGAATTTTACAAAATTTTGGGCCCTTTTATACTAAGAAGTCCTCATTGGATTGAGAAAAATGATGAAAAAATGAAAACAAATGCTTCTATTGGTCAAGTGTAATTAATGAGGGAGCACTTAATTCACTAACCCAGATGCCAGTAGGTAGTTACCAGTTTCACCACCAGGTGGCTAATTCAGGTTAGATAACAATACAGATAAACTAGAATGTTTCCTTAGACTTGAATATTCATCAGTTTTAGTGGATCAATTTTCAGATTACCCTTATCTGATAGTTATACAAATGAAAATATGTACAGTAAAACAAAATATTATCAGTCCAATACTAGAAAATATATTTCACTTTTTATTTCACCACCTAAAAGTGGTAACATATTGTAATTGTAATGGTCTCCGTTTTTTTGTGACAGTGGTTGGTGATCAATCAGTAGATGATAAGATGAATAAAACTTGATTGCTTTTAATTCAGAAATTAGAAGTAATTACAACCTTTTAGTGATAATTAGTGGTAGTGCAACCTTTTTGTGAGAAATAGTGGTAAAAATTCATATGACCTTTTTTCTATAAAAGGTTGCCATTCATAGTACCTATTGTTTTGAGGAGGAGCTGATTGTAATGGTCTCTGTTTTTTGTAACGGTGGTTGGTGATCGGTGGTTGGTGGTTGGTGATTGGTGGTTGACGATCAGTGGGTGGTGTCTGTGACAACTTCCAATATCAAATACAGTTTTTTTCAAAATCATCAAATTTGACTTTATATATAAGATATGACCTTCAATGACCTTCTCAAGCCTCTCAAGGTGTAAAAAGATCATCTGATCATAAAGGTCTTTTCAAATTGACCAATTGTCAAAAATTGATTACTTTGATGAATTTTTGAAAATCGCCATTCTCACGTAAACCAATGGGAAATTGTAAGTATGCCGCAAGGGTGTGAAATATCCATTCACCCGAGTTCTCTCAAAAAATACAAGTTAAGTTGACGATTGAATTTGCTCACTTTATCTAACACAAAATCAATATGTAAAAGATTTAGATCTTCAAAATCAAAATGATTTTTCAATAAAACTCTCCCATTGAAATAACCCAAGATGTGAAAATGATTTCTAAAATTGAGTTAAGGCTAACTTTGTTCACAAACAAAAATTCATCAAAGTCATAATTGAGGAAAAAATTTGGAGGTATAGACCTATAAGAAATAAAGTCAAGTTACATCTCTGCCTTCTTTATCAGTGTTTTCGTAGCAGGTTATGAAAATAAAAATACAAACATAGAGGGGCTTTAACACGTAAGACTATGGAGAAGGGGAGTTGCCAAATTTATCGAGGGGAGTGTACAATGTCCATCCTTTGTGTTCCTTTGAATGAAAATGAAATAGTAGAGAAATAAGTGAGGAATGTATTTTTGAATGAAAATTGCTCATTAATGAATCTAGACGAAGCTCTCTTTCTAGATGAAGCTCTCTTTAATTTGGAATAGACACACAACTTTGCCCCTGTCTGTTTCAACTATATAGCCAATCATATTTTGAGTTTCGCGCGGTAGTAGATAGTAAATGACGTAAATGTCGTCAGAGTGATATGCAAATGACATGAATGAATAAGCATCCAATCAAGTTTGCTATAAATGGAAACATGGTCACGTGGTTCGTGTACAGAATTTCATCTTCCAGTAAGTGAAAATTCTGTTACGAA